GCACATGGTAATTGTGTCAACTATTAGTTATATTACAGCAAAAAAAAAAATTCTTAAAGATTTTTTTTTTTAAATCTGTGATTTTCTAAGTATAACTGAGATAACATACTATGACAAATTTATTCCACGCAATGGTTCTTATCTCTGAATACTCTAAAATAATATGTACTAATTTTTTGTTTTGACAACGATGTAAAACGTGTACACGAAATAAATGTGAAAAAGTAAATACGTAATTTTTTTTTTCAGTGGTTGGATTAATATATTTTTCATAGAGTTTATATATTGCTCGCAACATGTAATGATTTCAAAAAAAGATGTAGTGATTTCAAAAAGTTTGATATAAACATATTTTTCAAGCTTTCCAATCACAAAAAGTGCCTAACTGTTCTGAAATTCAAAAAAAAAATCCCACGGAAGAAAGTTGCATGAAAACTATATTTCAAAAAATTTCTCAATTATTGAAGATGACGAAACTTATATAAAGTATGATCATCAACAAATTCCTGGTGCTGTCTATTATAATTGCAAATATAAAGGAAAAGCAGATAAACAATTTTAATACACAAAAAATGATAAGTTTGCTAAAAAAGCTTTGATTTGGCAACCTATTTGCAGGTATGACAAAAAATCAGCACCCTATATTTCTGGGTCAACATTTTTTGGTAAAATATATGTTAAAGCGTATCAGCAAAAACGTCTTTTATCTCCTATTAAATTACATGATAGATCACGTGTGTTTTGGCCTGATTTATCATCAAGTCATTATACAGGGTTGCCACCGTTATTTAGGAAAAAAATTCCCTGATTTTCCCTGATTTTTTTGCCAAAAATTTGCTTTTTTCTCCCTGATTTTTCCTGATTTTTTGCTAAAATTTTGCTTTTTTCCCCCTGATTTTTCCCCTTGAATTTTGCTTGATATTTCCAGCATTCAAATGCCCAAACTTAACATTAAAATTTCCCTAATAACCCCAGAGTATTTTTACCTTTAAAAAAACAGATACTTTAATCCCCCAATAAGTAATAAACCAATCAATTTGCTTGAAAATTAAAATAACTAATCAAATACTTCAATCAACATATGATATTTTTCTTTGAACCAGGGTATGTTTAAAATGGATATGTTCAACAGGCATTGAAAACCTATCAGACTTATCTAGGGTACAAGATAACGAAATTCAAAAAAATGTAATGAATGTAATAAATTTCTAATTGTATGTTTTATATACATCGTTAAATACTTTTTGCTTTTCTTCCTAATATTTCCTAATCTAAAAGATTATCACGCTATTTTATTTTGCTTGAAGTATTCTATTTTCCTCCAAATATTTTTAATATTGTATTGAGGCACTACAAACAGCATTTATCATTTTATTGTTAATTTCTATTTTGTGAGCCTTCAATTTGTTTGACACCTTAATATCCTTGATAGTGCGACAAGATATAAGTGACATTCCTTTCATTTTTTCACTGAACATATTACTGGTAATACTGAAACCTCACTCAATTGATGCTTGCCCATGACATAATGTAAAAATAAATATCAAAATTTGACAAAACCTTATAATCTACTACAACTTTAATCGTTTCAAAATAAAACTTGTTTAAACAATTGCCAGTGTGAAAATATTTGAATGCAAGTCAAAGAATAGATAAACTTTCCTCTAACAATTTTAAAAATTATATGAAAGCTTGATCACATTCATTTGAAGTAATATGTGAGCAAGAAAGAACTGATGTAGTACAGATTTTATCTGATGAAGAAGATCAGCTTTTTGTTTAGAAAGATTTGACACTGGACTGATGCAAGCAGTTGCTTCCAGAAAAGAAAATCGATCCAAACTTCTTTCAAATATTTTTCCAGAATTCCAATAATAATGAGACGGCAACCTTTTATGAATCTATGATGACATCTTGAGATAATGCATCCTTTTTCCTCAATTCAATAATGTCATGTTCTGCAGCAAATCCAATTATCATTAATTTTAATAGCAGAAAGTTTTTCTTTTTTGTAAAATCATATTATTGAAGTTTCCTGCCGTTAACGATGCTAAGGACATCTTGTTTTATAATTAAACCCATTAAACTTTTGACAGTTGAGAACAAATCTTAAAAAGATTTTCTGCAACAAACTTGCAATGTAACCAAAAAACTTCAATTTAGTCAGAATTATCTTATCTTTTGTTCCCTCGAACCAGATTTGTTAGTCCTTGACCTGAAAATTTTGGCCTTGGCATTGATTGTTTTGACCTTAGCCAAAAAAAAAATAATACTCTGCCCCGAACACTTGTCATAGCATGTCATTTTGGTTGCTTACTTTTAGAGAGTAATAGTCTCCCAATACTTGGTTGTTTTTTTTAACATTCTTCCAAATTAAACAAAGTCTATCTGCAACTTTTCGGTCTACAACCCAGCGTGTTGAGCAAAATGCACAAGGAAAACTCTCACATTTAATAACAGTTACATAATCAGCTCTTCTAGCTAAAGAATCATAACAAAGGTTGTATGATGCTTTCATTAACATCTTTATATTCCATTCAGCAGATTGAAAACCCGATTTGAAACCATATATTAGATGAAGATTACAGCTTCCAACGTTAAAAAGTTTAGGTAGCTCTTGTTGATCATGCTGCAATTCAAAAAAATTAAGAAGGGAACAGTTCACATTCGTACTTTCCATACGTAGTTGAGTCATACTTTTAAGTTAATTCTTTGCTGTAGGGTGACCTAAAAATTTAGAGTCGAAGTATCTGGATTCAACATGATTTAGATTGCTGCTCAAAAACTGAATATTTAGATCTGATTGGCTCTTTTTAAAAGAATCGTTCAGGCTTTCATCAAGTGAAAAAGTATAATAAGGAGATTTTTTTATATTTCAGTTAAAAGTCTGTAAAAATAAAGCCCATTACCAAAATTAATTGTATAACCAAGTTTTGTCCCTCATTTCATAAGATTTAGCAATATTGCTATCAGGGATCATTTTCTGATAAAGTAGGCATTTTCATTACATGAGTTCAATGAGAAATTATTCTGTATTGCATTTAAAACAGATTAGATTTCTGTACAACTTTTATCACATTAATCTAGTGTTTGAAGTGCTTGCTTTTTAGATGTGGACTGTGCAGATATGAAGAAGCAAGATACTGGCTTTGACTTTTGTGCATGTTTTTTGCCATCCATATGACTTATCATAGCTCTTCTGCATATTTGACAAATTAAATTCAACTAGGCATATTTTGCATTTGGCTGACTTTTTTACACTGCCTATTACCAGCCATTTTTCAAACAAAGGATCACTTAACCATTTTTCTTTGAATTACGTTGCAAACATTAAATTAATGTAAACACAATATGATTAATTTTCTTTAAAAATGTTGAACATTAATTCAGGTAACCCTTAAAAAGGAAGATTTTTATTAGAGAAAATATAAAAACATTAAAGAAAAATTAAAAAGTTCCCTGATTTTCCCTGATTTTTTCTTAAATCAATCATTTCCCCCTGATTTTCCCTGATTGTATCTAAATTTCCCTGATTTTCCCTGAATTCCCTGATTTGGTGGCAACCCTGTTATAGCAAACTGGCTATGGGTTGGGATAAAAAAATGATCTAAAAGTTGTTTAAAATAGCAAATCCTCTAAACTGCTCGGTATTAAAAATTATTGCAAAGTACTGGGTAATTACAAGACGAAAAAAAAAAAAAAAAAAAAAACAACTACTAAGAAACATTTAAGATTTTAAAATTTTATTTAAAAAACACTAAATAGTTTTGATTGTTGTTCTGTTGTTGTTCTGTGCGCCTATGTGTATCACCTAAACTAAAGCTCTAAAATTTTGTTAGATAAAAAAAACAGAAAAAAATTAACTTCTTTAAAGTATTTTATCTTCTTATATATTAATGTATTAAAATTGATACTTAGTTTCCAATAAAAGTCAATGAGTTCCTTTTTTAAGTTGTTTTTCTACTTTCGCACTTATTTCGTGTACACGTTTTAATTAAAATATATTAAAATATCACACAACGTTAAAGTCACCAAAGTTACTTATTTATAATTATAATTTTTTTTTTCAAAATATATTTCTCTTAATATATATAGAAACTAAAACTAAATAAGTTTTCAAGATTAGGCAAATAAAATTTTTGCCATTTTATTTATTGACTAGACTCACTAATGAGGCTTGAGGTCTATGGTTTAGATAAGTCACTTATCTAAACCATAAACCATTGATAAAATGGTTTATACTAACGCTAACTGTAGCACTTGGTTTTATCTACTATTTAAAACCAAGAATGAACCAATATATTTCCAGCAACTTTGAGTATATGCGACGCCAACGTAAGCAAAATGGATAAATGTTCATACTATTCTTGCATTATAAATCTTATCGAATTAAACATGAAAAACCGTATAATCCACGGCAGTGTAACAATTTTTTGAGAAGTAAGTTTCAAAATGACTCAAAACATAAAAAATTAGACGTTTTACTAAAAAAATGAAAGATATAGCATTTTAAATCCAAAATAAATACAGGTGTTCCAATTAAAGCGCTGTTTTTTCTAAATTATGATAACTATGTGTACGTAAACTTTTCAAGAAGGTACCAAAGCCTTTTTATTTGGAAATAATCAAAATATAAATGTCTTTTTTATTAGAAATTTTTCATTAGTGGTGTACAAACGCTCATCTTTCTAATCTTTACATTTCATTAGATTAAAAACGTAAAACAATTTTGCTCTTCATTTTTTAATCTATATTTTAGAAGATTAAAAAAATGCATCTCTTTTCCATATACTGCATCAAAAATCACAATCATTTAATAAGACTAAAACGCAAATTGATATCGTTATTTTAAAAATATATATATATATATATATATATATATATAAATATATTACATAAAAAAACCCATATGTTTTAATTAAAAAAATATAAACTTATTTATAAGATTATAAGATTTAAGCATTCTAAAGTAAAAAACAAACAAACAAAAAACAACAACCTTTTTAACTTTCAAGTTCTTTTCGATTTTTCAATTTACAACGTGCTAAAGTAACGTTAAGTGCATCTATGCTTTGTAAAACTTAAGGAGTTGATGAACGATTTATTGCATACTTCACACATAAGTGATTTATTATGAGTTTTTTCGTGCCGCCTTAGTGCAGAACTGTCAACAAAACGTTTGCTGCACACATAACAGTGGTAAGGCTTTTCTCCACGGTGAATTTGTAAATGTTTGCTTAAATATTCTTTAATTACAAACCTTTTACCACAGATATTACAGAACCAATCTTTTTCAATTTTATGCACAGCCTGGTGTCGAAGTAGTGCAGCGTTCTCGACGAAACATTTGTCACACTCTGAACATTTATATGACTTTTTTTCGGTGTGGCTTTTTAAATGACGAATCAAAACTTCTTTCTGAGTAAAAGGCTTGTTGCAGTAATCGCAGCACCACGATTTTACTCCGCTATGAATAATTGAATGCCTTTTAAGAGAACTATTGCGATTAAAAGTTCGTTTACATATTTCGCAAATGAATTCTTTTGTCTGTTTTTGGACCACCATTGTTTCGGCCGGTAGTTCTGCATTCACATGATCTAAAAGTAAAAATTACAATGTTATACAACGGTGTAAAAAGTGAACCATCTACAAATTTTACATATTTGTCAGTATGAAACATGCATGTTTTTGTTTTTAAATAAGATACAAAATAATTTTTATGTTACTAGTTAATTATGGAAAATATAAAGAAACTTAACAGTTCAAACAATTTTATTAATTTTTTTTTAACTAATATGCATGCAGTGTGATGATTTTGTGGCTATTTTGACATGTTTGACCCATAGTTGTGAAGTTTTAATGACTCTGGGAATGAAAACAAAATTACGAAGCTTTGATTTGTGAGGAAAAAACTTAGTCAAAGAGAATTTTATGTATGAAGGAACATTACCAGAAAAAGCCGAAAAACAAGTAGCAAAAGATTAGATTATGGTTGATGGAACAAGAGATGATAGCCTAAACAGCAACTATGGTAGCATTTGTGGAAAAAAAGAAACGCAACCTTATGACAAAGATTCAAGTTGCTACAGCAAGTTCAACTACATTTAAAAGGGTTGAAAAGTCATCATAAAGAGAACCAGCCCAAATGTGACAAAAATGTTGCATAAAAAGACGAAGAGATTTAGGAGTAAAGAGTACAATACAACGAAATATCTACAAAAAAAGAAAAAAGTAACATCTACAGTCTATGAGATTCATGAGTAAAGTATTAGAACCATCTGCAATAAGAGAAAGAGGTAAAAAATGAAATTAGGATTTCATGAAATAGGTAAAAAATGAAATTAGGAGTAAGAAAATGGAAAGCGCAAGGATAATTACTAATCAAAAGTTTGATTGAAACATTTTTTCATAAAAAAAGATCAACTGTGAAAGATAATTTTAGAGACAGTGTCTCGATAAAAATACTCATCTTGGGCAGACATTAAATGCATCTTTATAATATATCGCTCTCTAAGAGTCTGATTTAAGAGAAGAGTGAGTTATGTTACCTCCTAAAGACAAAGCTGAACTGTTTGCTTAGAACTTTTCATCAATCTCATCTCTTGATTTTACCAATCAAATCCTACTTGATATATCCGAAAAACAGGTTGACCTATCGCTTGACATTTGTATCACTCTAGCTTCTATATTTAAGTAATTTTCTGTTTAGACTCTTTTAAAGCTGTGGCTCAGACAACATAACTGTTATAGTTTTGTAGAAGTGCTCTCTGGAGCTGTTGTTTATACCTTTAAAACTATTTAAAAAGTGTTTATCAGAGTCTTGTTTTCCAGGCTGCTGGAAAACTGCATCTGTTATCCCTATTTTCAAAAATTCTGGAGAGAGATCTGATTTGTTTAACTACCGTCCCATTAGTCTTCCTACTATCATAAGCAAAGTCTTTGAGTCTTTAATTAACAAATACTTAAATCTTTTATCTTGAATCAAGAACTTACTTTTCGATCATCTATATGGATTTCAATCTTCTCACTCTTTCCTTACCAATCGTAGTACAAAAGTTGTTCTTGACAGACAACACTCTTCATCATTTCCTGCTAAGGTTGCATCTCTTTATTGCGCGAGCCACATTCTTACTTCAGATTCTATTATTTATCTCTATAAATCTCAAATCTGTCTTTGTATGGAATACTGTTGACATATATGGAGCAGATCTTCAAATGACGCCCTTTCTCTTTATATGCAAAAATTTATTGTAAACATAGTTGGACCTGCTTTCAGGGATGCGAAGTCCGGAGTCGGAGTCCGGAGTCGGAGTCCATGGAGTCCCTATTTTAGCCCGGAGTCCGGAGTCTCGGGAGTCCATAAAAATTTTAGGACTCCTGGACTCTTTTTTTTTTTTTTATAGTTATTAATATGCATAAGAAATACCTGATAGTCTTGTCACAAAACACTGTAAAAGAGCATTTGACCGGAAAGCTCATCACCTTCCTTACTAATTCGAACCAATACTCAGATTGAGTATCGGTTAGAATGTTACGCCTTGTTAAGAGGCGTTACCAAGCTCGCATTTTACGTGCGAAAAGGCCATATGCTTATGCGTTCAGCAGTTTAACGTTAAGAGAAAACTTTCTTCTTTTAGAATATTTAATTTTTATTTTGATATCGTTGATGTGACGTTTATTCAGAAAATATAATGTTGTAAATAAAAGTATTTAACCGCAATTGCGATCTAATAGTTTTTTTTGTTAAAGAAACTGTTTAAAAATTTTTTTTCTGTTAAATTTAATTAAAAAAAATAAAGTGTTTTAACTTTTAAAATTTCATGATATTTAATGTTAAGTTTTATATTAAGTTAATAAACTTTTATTCGCAAATTATTTTCATTTTATATGTAACAATTTTTGTTTATTTATTTATAGTTTTAAAACAATTAATTTTTTTATCCCGTTAAGAAAGTACTTATGATTAACTGTTTATTTAAGTATTTCCTCATCATCAAATTTCGAGACCCAGGGACAATTTTCCTAAAAAGAGAGGAAGTTAACATTCGACACTTAAATATTTTTTATAAGACATTAGTCACTTTTGAAGGATTCATCCTCCTCATTTTATTCACAAAATCGCCACTGGCTAGACCTGCAGATAAAGATATGTTTGAACGCTTAGTTGTTTTATAATTTTTTAATATTTATCAAATTTAGAGATAAATGATATTTTAGTGTTGAAGTTGCTTTTATGCATAAGTTTTTTCGTTATCTATAATTTTTTAGATTGATCATAGAAAGAAAGTCGATTAGAATAGATTAACTAGGTTATGAGCAGTAGACAAATATTTTACCAAAGTCAAGTTCTTTAAAAAAAAATTGTCGATATATTTTTTGCTTTGTTTAAGCACTGTTTAAAACTGTAAACTATAGTAGGAAACTATACTTATAAATAAATGAAGCTTGTAAATACTATTAGAAAAAAAAATATATCTTTTTATTTCTTTTAATTTCAACCCAAAATGGCATGACTCTGTCTAAGAAAATAAAAAGTCTACTCTGCTAATAAAATAAAAAATTTTATTTTAATAACGCCTAATGAAAAATTGTAATGAAAGCAATATGGTTTAGATACGAAAAGCAATCAAATTTCACTAGCAAATTAATTATACGCAATAAAAAAACAAATTTGTCTGTGAGTTTGCGCTATAAAATCAAGCTAACGATCTAGACAGTTGGCAAAAAACGTACCATCAAGGTCAGAAAGAAGCCAAAAAAAGCTTATAAAAATACCTCAACAAATAAATGCTTTTTTTACGAACAAACGAGTTTTTTATTTAAACGTTTTTTGATGATGTAAATATTATAATATTTTGTCCTTATAACTTTTTAATTTAGCGTGTAATTAATGCAAATAAGCATTTAAATCTTTTTATAATTTTATGATCATGTCGTTTCAAATAATCTGAGAAATTGAGTGCGACAATACAAATCAAATAAAAATCTTTGGAGTTGTATTGTTCTTATAAATTCTTACGATCCAGCAAAAGCGGGACAAATTAACTTTTGGGTTTAAGCAGCCGTGGCTCAGTGGTAGCGCACTTTCCTAAAAAAAATAAGGGATTCGTGGTTCAAACCCACCTTTGGTTTTGCGACATCGGTTAGGAAGTAGGAGTGAATTTCCTTTTAATTGCTTTTCTAAGGTGCGCTGTTATAAGACCGTAAGGACTTCTTAGGGTACATAAAATAAATATATATATAATTCATAAGAGAAAATATTATTGGTACCCTTTCATTTTTCCGGAACTTTCGCGTAAAAGTTCCAAATAATAAAAACCCCATATTTAAATGAAGAAAAAAAAAATTATTACGGAGTCCGGAGTCCGGAGTCGGAGTCCGTGGAGTCCATGATTTTTGAGCTCGGAGTCCGGAGTCCCGGAGTCCCAAAAAATCGATGGGACTTCGCATCCCTGCCTGCTTTTGCAGCCAACCTTCAACCATTATCACATCATTGTTATATTTCTTCTCTTACTTTTTGTATAAATACTTTAATGGGTGCTGGTATGAAGAGCAGCTCTTGTACCATCTACTAAAACTAATTCTCCTGTTACATATACAGTGACTGTTCTTAAGTGCTCCAAAAATTCTTTTTTGCCTAGTTTTTTTCCTTGAACACCAGCTCTTTGGAATTTGTTCCCTTCATCTTGTTTTCATATAATTTCATTTGTCTGATTCATATAATTGAAAATCTTTTAAGTCGTCTGTTAATTTTATTATCTTGCTTTACAAACTTCATCTTTTCTCTTTCAGTAACTTGCAACTTTAATAGTGGTTGCTTGCAGCCTTGATAGAGATTAAGATGTTTTGAAAAAAAAAATCCAAGAAGAGTAGGTACTAGGAAGACATTAAGTAAAGGACTAGTTAAGAGTTTTTCCATTTAAAAATAAAGATCAACATATTGTGATGATTATTAGCACTAAACAACTTAAATTTTTTTTTGGTTAAAATTTACCTCTATTTTTCGGTTAAAACTTACCACTATGACCTCCAAGCGGTCACAGAAGTGAGACAACATTCAAAATCAACTGCCTGTTCTAATCAATTAAAAAGTAAAGACTTATACCAAGACTGGAGTATATAGAAAAAAGAGCCGCTTTAGATGCAAAAAAGATAGAATACCAAGGATCAAACCTTATGGTACCCCAAAAGGAGTACCCCAGGAGTACTCCATATAGGAGTGTGTGATCCATTAAGGATGACAAAAAATACTAGGGTTAGAAAAAAATGATTCAATAATCCTTTCTGTATATGTTCCTTTATACTTTAAAAACTTTGCCAGATTTCATTTTTTTTAAATTAAAGTCACCTCTCAAAGACTCCAGAGCCACTACAAATGAGAAGGTTACCATTTTTTTATTCTTATTTCATTTCATTCTCTCTCTAAACCTAAAAACCTCTCATAAAACTTTTTTGTCATGATAATAAGAAAGTCAGCAAAAGAGAAAAAAGTAAAATCGGTATTGTCAGTGACCAATTTTGTTAAACTCAAGATGTGTTGGAAATTTGTTAAATAAAGACCATTTGTTAAATAAAGATATTGACATTAAAAGGAAAACTGATTGAGAAGGTCTTAAAGGAATCAGCGCAATTTTTAAAAACTCTGGGATCAGAGTTTTTAAAAACATCAGCTCAAAGACCATCGTTACAAAAAACACACACACAAAAAAACACCCCTTTTAGGTAGTAGTAAAAATTGTCTGATGAAGATGAAAATGAATATTCTGATGAAAAAATAAAAGTGGTAACGAGAACAACAAAAAAATCAAAGATTATAGTTGTCTGGAAAACAAATCACAAAAATCCAAAACAAGACTACAGCATCTAAAAGTATTATAAATTAAAACTATTATTATCTTTATCTTGATCTTCATATTCATCTAGCTCTTCATTGAGAAAGAAAAAAAGTTTTAGCTTTAAATCCAGCAGGGTAAATGGTACTAGAACCAATCCATTCAGCGTGACTAGCGTTTAAAAAAAAAAAAAAAAAACTAATTTGCTGCCAAAAAGGCTGCAAGTAACCCCTATTAAAGTTGGGAGTTCCCAGCAAAAAAAAATTGTTAAAGAGCAAGAAAATAGTTCACAGAAGACATCAAAAACTGTAAGAGAGTTCTAAAAGATTGATGGCATTGATATGTGGGGAAAAAAACTATATGAATAAATTTTTTAGAGCATGAAGGGAAAGAACAGTAAGAGAACGCAATTTTGCCAAATGACAATTTATGCAAGATTAAGTTTTGGATGATGGAAACAATAGCTCATTTATAGCAGTGACTGTGATTGTATTGGTAGAATGAAGAGAACTGCAACCTTTCGATGGTAAGACACAGGCTCAAACTTGGCAGCTAGAGCAGGTCCAATTACAATTACAATAGATTTTTAAACCACGGCTTTAAAGAAACCCATAACCACAATATTGGTCAACAGATAAGGAAAAAAATGCTTGGTCATTGTTTATTTCATCATAAACAACAGCAAAATAAGTTTTTTGCAAATCAAAGGATAATAGACACCAACACTAAGATTCCAAAATCAAGATGAAAATCAAGATCAAGATAAAGATCAAGATGAAGACAAAAATTAAGATGAAGATCTAGATGAAGATCTAGATGAAGATCAAGATGAAGATCAAGATAAAGATCAAGATAAAGATCAAGATAAAGATCTAGATGAAAATCAAGATGAAGATCAAGATGAAGATCAAGATGAAGATCTAGATGAAGATAAGGATGAAGATAAGGATGAAGATCAAGATAAAGATCAAGATAAAGACAAAGATCTAGATGAAGATCTAGACAAAGATCAAGATGAAGATGAAGATCTAGATGAAGATCAAGATGAAGATCAAGATGAAGATAATAATAATTTTAATTTATAATACTTTTAGATGCTATAGTCTTGTTTTGGATTTTTAAAGATATTGCTCAATCATAGATACTTAGAATAATTAGATTTACTACTTAAATGTTTTCTTTCTTATATGAATGATGACCACTTTGTTATATGAATGATGACCACTTTGTTATATGAATGATGACCACTTTGTTATATGAATGATGACCACTTGGTTATATAAATGATGACCACTTGGTTATATGAATGATGACCACTTTGTTATACGAGTAATGACCACTTTGTTATATGAATGATGACCACTTTGTTATATGAATGATGTCCACTTTGTTATCTGAATGATGTCCACTTTGTTAAATCTTAAATGACAACCATGACAAAAAAAATAGTTACTTATTAATGAATAATTAAACAACCCTAAATTATTTTTGAGAAAACATTTAAGAATTTGTATAATGCAAATAATAAAAACCAATAGTGTACAATTAAAGGATTTTTCACAACAGCAAAAAAGCATATTAAAAAAAATAATTATTTTTCATACAATGGCAATAACTTATCACTATTCAAAATAAAATTTAATAGTTTTATAACAAAATAAAAATTAATAGTTTTATAACAAAATAAAAATTAATAGTTTTATAACAAAATAAAAATTAATAGTTTTATTACAAAATTAGTAAGCCATTTAATAGCAATAAAAAATGTTTAAAAAATGCACAAATATGGCGTCTGTGGCAACAAAAAAAAAAAAAAAAAAAAAAAAAAAAACTGACTGGTGGCAAACAAACACACACAAAAAAACTTTTTTTTCATCTACCTTATATCATCGGTAAGCAACAACATATCAATCAAAGTAGACTTTTACAATCAAATTATAAAGTAATTAAAATACTGATAAAAAAAAATTAAAATTCACAAATAATTTAAAAACTTTTAACAGAATCAAATAACCATTTCTTATAATTTAAGACCTTCTGACACTACTAAATTACCATATTTTATAGTTTAAGGTTGACAACTAGGGAGATAACAAAACGTTTTTATTATATTAAGATATATGATATGCTATACAACAGTCCTGATATATAGTGTATAATATTTTGTTAGTTGTTTTTATTGTAAAAAAAAACATGCATACTTTTCTTGCAAGTGCCTAAATAAGTGTTGAAAACGGAGCAAAAAAAAAAGGGGACAAAAAATTTTTTTGCAAAAACAGTCGTTTTCAGCATTATTTACTCCTCCGGAGGATAACTTTATCTACAAACTGAAGCATCGTTGATTGGGTCCAAATATCCAAAAAAACTAATGAACATTCAATCAATATTTGTTCCTTGTTCCAATCTACATTTATTTCCTTGATGAAAACAATAGTAGAAAAAAATCTAGTTCAAACCAACAGAGATATGAAACATTATAAAAGACCTTGGTGTTTTTTTGACTACTTTGTGTCTTAAAATAAAACTTTTGATTTTTTTGAAAACTTTTGATTCTTAAAATAAAACTTTTGATTAGAAAAAATAGTCAGAAAAAAAAACTTAGAAGAAAAGATGTTTTAAACTTACTGTTTGAATACTTAACTGATTTGACCAACTATTGAGTAATAAACATTCCTATCGGTGGTCATTGCATCTGGTCACCGTTTCCTCACAAAATTGATAGTAACTGCTTGGTTTATAAAACTTTTTTAACAACTCGAAAAACTCTGCCAAATGAGATTGTTTGAATCACTACTTTTTCAATTTCAATGGTGAAACTAGATCAACAACTAGTATTTTCTATGGTAGCTCATATTGCTGCAGCTATATGAGCTAGCATAAAGGCAGATGAGTTTAGGGCTCACTCATGTTCAATGTAACTTAAATTATTACTATTATTGTTTTTATTATCAAAACCATTTATTATATAATAGTATTAAAAATTATAAAACAATATATTTTGAAAAAATATTAGAATCTTTTATTTTGAAGCAGAGCAGAATGAGTTGATAAATGAAATAAAAAATAAAGAAAACACTGGTAAAATTATAATTAAATAAATTTATAAATTTAATGTTATAATAATAACAGTAAATTTATAAATTTATTGCTATTATAATAACAGTATAAATTTACTATTATTATTATAACAGTTTTTCATAAATTTAGTTAACTATTACTATTTTTTTTATTTCTAATATTTTTATTCTTATAATACTTTTTCAGGGTTTTATAAAAATATCAAACTCTGTGAATCCTAGTCATTTGCTTACCTTGATAAAAGTTTTCGGTCGAAGAGTTAATTTTGTCTCCACTGCTGATAAACTTATTTACTTCATCAGTCTTATAAAAAAAAATGTTTATCTTTTAAAATTTTTAAAAAGTTTGCGTGATTATTGCATACAAACATTTATGAAATGTTTAAGAAAAAAATTTGTTAATTTAAAGATTGTTTTATTAAAAAATAACCTTAAAAACTTACTTTTGATGAGAAAAAAGTTGATCCCGACAAATTATCAGGGATTTCACTATGCTGCTTAAAACTTTGTATGATGCCATCAGTGTGTACACTTCCTTCATTTAAACTTTTGCTATAGTTTTGTATGATGCCATCAGTGTGCACACTTGCTTCATTTAAACTTTTGCTATAGTTTTGAATGATACCATCAGAGTGCACACTTCCTTCATTCAAACCTTTATTGTGACTATGTTTTACTAAAGCAGTTTTATATCCAAAGTTAACAAGCGGAGAGGATACATCATCTAAAATACCCCCTGAATGGTTTTCTAAAACTGATTGTGATTGTGTAGCATGCAAACTGTCTGTTATCCCAACTCCAGTGCTACTACAAAGAACACTGTGATCAACATTGTGATCATTCAACTCACTGCATGGCGTATTAGCATTATAAAAATCTTGAAGTTGCTCCATATTTCCATGCAATTCATTACCATTATGCATTTCTTTATGAAGTCTGTACTGTCCTGAAAGGTGGTTATGATCAATGTGATTGCTAAATGATTGAGGAGGTTGGTGAGGAGGTTGGTCTTGTCGTTGAATATTTTGAGTAAGCAATTCTGCGGTATCAACAGAATAATCTTGCCAATACTTATCAATCAAATGTTGCAGAGGTTGAATTGTTTCTTCTGCTTGCCAAATATATCGGACCCATTTAACTTTGTAGAATTTTCCCTCTCCCTTTAGAAGAAAAAATTTTAAACCAAAATGTGAAAATATTAAAATTTTAAACCAAAATGTTAAACCAAAATGGTAAATATACTAAATAAAGCTTGACTAAAAATAAAGTAACAAAATGAGAAAATCACCTTGCGATCTATTGATGCAGTAATCTTCTCAATTGTCCAGCTGTCATCTTCATAGTCAAATGCATGGGATAAAGTATTTACATCAGGAGATGTAAATGGCTGTGATATACTGTCATTGTATGGTCCAACATTTATTACAGAGTATAACGTCATATTAACTTTTCTTTTTTACTATATGTTATATTATATTGTATATATTTCTGTTGATAAATATAATATTTTGTTAGGAAAAAAAAAAAGTTCTTACAATAGACTAATACTGTAAGAACCATTTTAACAAAGTTTAATATAATAATAATTATTTGAAAAATAATCAAATACCATAATATTTTTTATAAACAATGTATTATCGCAAGAACAAACAAGTTTTTTATTTCAATTAAAGAATGATAAAAGACACAAAATTGTTTAATTCAAATAAATAATTTTTTTTACAAATTGCAAGTTAATATCATAAATCTAATCAAGAAAGCTAATGTAATAAATCACATTGAGATAAAAATTTTCAGACCAAATTACTAACATTAGTAAAAAAAAAGAAAAAAAGAAACTAAAAAATATATTTTAAATATTATTTTCTGTTGAATAATAATAACAAAAGAATAATACAGATTTAGAAAAAAACTATGTACATTTTAACTTATAATTGTTAACTTAAAAAATATAAGAATTCATTTTAAATGGAATAAATTTCTGTCCAATCAATTTTTTTAACCAAAAATTATAAAATTTGTAATTTATATCATTGCTAAAAGTTGTCAACGAGTTCTATAAACATTAGTAGTAATCTTGTCTCCACTTCTCAAGAGCTTCTCTGTGTTTATCAGGCGCTAATTGATTCATAGCACCTCCAAGAACATTTGAAGTTGCTTCAGCTGATAGTATCAGAGGTTTGACCAATGTTGGAGGAATTTGTCGTAAAACCCCACCAACAGCACCTGACATGCCTTTCTTATCATGCTCATCAGTGGCCACACGAACTAAATTTGAAGCAGTCTGTGATAATCCCTAAATTACATATATACTTAAATATAAATATAAATAAATAATAAATATATATATATATATATATATATATATATATATATATATATATATATAAATATATATATATATATATATATATATATATATATATATATATATATATATATATATATACATAAATATAAATATATATAAGCAGCGATTAAATGTTTAATCAAAAGAAAATAAACTGATGAAGCAAAAAAGCTTAGGAGTTATTGTTTTCAAATTAAACTATTCTATTCTTTTAACCACTAAATGAATTTGAATTAATTTTTTTTGAAAACGTATCAATAGTATACTTCTGATAAAACCATATAAGCATTAGCCATTCCTTCTCGCAATTCAGCTGGTTGAACCATTTGACTGCTATTCTTTAGCTGTAAACTAGAAGTATGAGATGGTCCTGGACTTACCATGTCAAAGGTTAACTCTGCAACACTCTAATGAAAAATAAAAGCAAGGTACATATAATGTAAAACAAAGGCAGCAAAGAGTTGTGGCAAAGATTGCATTTCACACAATCAAAAAATCTGTTTCTACAATTCATACAATATAATAAAAAAACAATTTTATACTTGAATTGTGCTAACTAATCTGTTAGATAACTCCAAAACTGCCATTGCTGTGGAAGTGCTAAAAGAATGAGCACCTCTTTGAAGACCACGCACAATTCTTCCATCTTGTCGGTATTGTTGAACTGGCATCCAAAATAAATCCTTGATTCCTTGAAACAACTGAAGAAAACTATAGGTTGGGCCAACTCCGCCTAAAATACTTCCCAGTTGATTTTGTTTGATATCATTCATCCATTCTGTTACCATATAATTTATAAGTTTATCTGGTCCAAGTAAACCACTTCGAGAGCATAATCGTTTTAAACGAATTTCTGAGCAATTTAGTTGTGAAAGGCCGATGATGATACCAGCCAAAGTACCCTGAATTAAATTATATTATTATATAGTATATTGCTTAGTCTAATTTTTTATATACAACTAAAATATAAAGTCAAGTTTTAAACACATTTATTACTATTATTTCATTAAACCTGTTTTTTTGTAAAGAAAAATTATGGAATTAAAACTAAATAAAACTTTTTATCATCATCAAATCATATCTAAGATTTAATTTTAACTTGAATTATTATCTTTCATTTTATCATTTTTTTAAAATAAAATATAGTTTAAAAAATAACCGATAATAACATTAATAGTAACTTATAAATTTAGTCATAAACTGATAAGAAAACCTAGTAGTCTTAAAATATTACATTTAATTAATTGTATTGTTAGTGATAGAATTTAACACATTTATATATATTAAGTTTAAACAAAATTTAAATCACCTGTTCAATATCTACATGTTTTCCATGATAATCAAATCTAATGGGAACTTCTGGGGAAAAAATAAATGATTTTATAAACAAAGCTGGTTTTTCAGATTTTTCTGCATTGTTTAAAAAGTTCTGTGAATAAACTGGCACTGTTGAATCTAAAGAAGAAAGGAACGACTCCCGAGGCGGAGAAGATAGATGATTAGAAAATTCAGATCCTGATTTTAATGGTTTACTGCCAGAAACTTCAGCAAAAAAGTTTTTTAAAAAAAATAAAGCATCCTAGACAACAAAAAGAAAAAAATTAAAACTAAAAAACAAAAATATTTAACAAAAAAATAAAAGACAAACATATATGAGCAAAATAGTAATACATTAAAATATCTAATAAAAATACTTAAAAAATCTTTTATAAATATATTGTTTTACAGACTTTAAAAATTCACAACGTTTTTACTTGATCAATATTTAATCGAAGTGGTTGAAGAGAAACTCTTAATGATGCTTCTTCACTACGGGCATTATCTTCTGGCTTAGTAACAAGAAACTTAACTGTAATCTAAAGAAAATGAAAATGCGCACTATATATTATATTTTACTATTTGGCTTATTAGTGCAAAGTTCTATAATGTATATATATATATATATATATATATATATATATATATATATATATATATATATATATATATATATATATATATATATATATATATATATATATATATATATATATATATATATATATATATATATATATATATATATATTTATTTTGAACTGCAGGTTTAAAGTGAAACAAAATGCTACTACAGATAATGAGTTAGGGTGTGGTAAATTATTAATAATATATAAAAGAAATTTACATCTAAAAATAAAAATAAAAAAAAAAAAAAAAAAAAAATATTAACCATATTAGCGCTGCTTTGTTTTGGCAAACTTTCAGATGAAAACCTGTACAGGAATTTATTGATTTGAGAAGAAAACAGCCGATCTCGTATTTCAAGATCATAGATTACAAGAACATCACGATAAATCTGCTGTGTGTCATCAGGGTAGATTTCATGTTGAAATCGAACCTAATTTAAACACAAATAACTTTAAAGATAAAAATTATCTCATGGATGTTTTATAAAGGGCAGTTAAACCTATAAGTGTTACCTTGTTCATTTGGATTTCCATCAAAGTATCAAGATCTCTTCCAACACCACCTTTTACTCTGTTCGTTTTACTTTTATCTGGTTGGTTGGTTTCTTTGGATTTTGCACTTCCTCCTTTACTTTTATCACTTTTTTTTGATAAAAAACCTTTTAATTTTTATTAACATAAAGAAAAAAAAAAAAAATTAAAGTTTAAATAGTAACCTTAATTTCAAACTCGGTACTTTGAAGTCGCTTCCTCCATACATTTGCCAAATAATTGACATTTCTCTCACTGTGTATCTATAAACTGGTGGAGGGTAATCATCTGGTGATCCAAGAAGATTAAAGCTACCAAACTATTTTAAAACAAAATTAATTCTTAGAATATTTTTTATGTAAGTCCTTGCTTTAATTTCTCCTTATTGCCATAACAATATATTTTTAATTTATTTATTTTTACAAGTTTTATTTAAAAGATAATTAGTTTGGCATATCTGAAACCATAGTGAACTGACTTTGACTAATTGGAAATTAACCATAGTGAACTGAAAAACTGACTTTGAAAAAATGTGGAAACTTATTTGGTTAAATACATCTGAAGCCATTCTTGGAAAATAACTTGAGTTGCAGTACCCCCTGTGCTGGAACATGCTGTAATGATATTTTACAGACACATCAACTCATTTTCAACTAATCTGAAAAATTTGGGAGGCACCCAAAACATGCTCAAATACTATCAACGTTGTTGAAAAGGGCCTAGAATAGCCTCTGTAAATATTTTAAACATGTTAAAATAATTGCAAAATAATTAGAATAAATACATTATTGATATGTATTGATAAATATTTAATTGATATATTGAGTTACTTCAAAATTATTCTTATTCTACATACAAATAAAAAAGTCTAAATGAGCAAGACAAGCTCTGCTAAGCTAAACAACACCTAAGTATTACTTGGTTATGTGCAAGGCAAAATAAGCTGCACGCAAAGCTTAATCAACTGAGCAGAAGATATTTAGCAAGATGGTAGATTTAAAAGACAATAGAAATGCAGTTTATAGTGTTTTTAGAACAAATGGTTTAGAAAATTGGGAATGTTGTGGGACTCTTGGAAATTACTTCAAGTGAGTTTCCACCTATCCATTTTCTTAAGAAAACGAGAAAAGGAAGAGAATAATCACTTGAGCAATTTAAATTTTAATTTTTTAAAAACAAAACACTAACATAATTATTTTTTCTTTCTTGTTCCTATTTCCATAGAAAAAATAGGATAGGTGAATACTCACATAATTTAACAAATAAAATTTGTTAATATATATCAGTTTTTTTCCAAAAAAAAAATTCAAGTTGCAATGCTTGTTTACCAATCAACTTTAAGTTGCAATGCTTGTTTAACAATCAATTTTAAGTTGCAATGCTTGTTTACCAATCACTCTTAAGTTGCAATGCTTGTTTACCAATCAATTTCAAGTTGCAATGCTTGTTTACCATCAACTTCAGGTTTTTTGATCATGTAAGTCATTTTTACATTCAGTAAATAAGTGTATATTCACTTATATAGTTTTTACACTTATATATTTAGTAATTTAAAAATAAAACTTTTTTTTTTTAATTAACTTTTGTTAACTTAAAACTTTTTGAAACCTTAAATATTTTAAATATTAAAAATAAATTTTTAAAGTTAAAAAATTTGCGTTTTGAATTTGTTTAATTTTCTAGACCCTCAATATTTTGCAGAGCATTAGTAATATGATTGCAGAACACAAGTGCTCTAAACTCCAACCTTTAAAAATAACTGATAGCATAATACTATGTTTCAGTTTTACTAGTCGTGAACAACTTTGAAAATCCAGTAATCTAATGCTTATAACATCTAAAAGTAAACTAGGAAGTGCTTAGGTTATTTATATCCTTAGGAGTGAACTATCTTTTTAGAATTATTGAATTAATGAACATATAGTGAATGTATTCATAGGATAGATTTCATACAGAAATTCAAAAGAATTTATGGTGTACAAATTACTTTAGTTGGTATCACCTAAACAAATCTTGCTCAATTTTTTTTAGAAATAAAATCACTTTTTAATTCAGTTGATTCATAATTCAAAAATAAAAAAAAAAACTCACTGGTACTTTAAAGAAATTTTCTGTAACTAAAACCACTTTTTCAGTTAGTCGATTCAAAATTGGTTCATGATCATCAAATGTCTAGAAATTTAAAAAAGTGCAAATATTGTTTACATTAAAAATAACCATAAACAAAAATATATTGAAAATATTACATTAAAAAATAATTAGATGCTTTACACACACACACACACACACACACACACACACACACACACACACACACACACACACACACACACACACACACACAAACAAACACACACACAACACACACACAACACACACACACGCACACAGCCTGACTCGCAGCGGAGTGCTACTACATCGACTGAGGGTTTAGCACAGAGCAGCAGTTTTTTCATTCATCCAAAAAAGAGCAAATGCTTATATAAATACACTACAGTATATGTATATGTATATGTATATGTATATGTATATGTATATGTATATATATATATATATATATATATATATATATATATTTATATACACACACACATTACATCGTAATTACATATTTACATCGTAAGTACATATATTACTTACTTTTATTAATTACATTTATTACATTTTATGTTAATTACAAATATTAATTGCATTAATTAATTAGCTACATTATGTAAAACATTTATGTATTAAAAGTTAAATTATGTCAGTTGTGTCAGTTATTTCAAAGATTGTAATTATATTTAATTTGAAACCACATTGAAAAATCAAGTCTTTATCTTTATAAAACATCTTAAAACAATATTGTTATAAAAAAAGTTACCAATAACATTTAAATGGTATTTGAAAAAAATACTTATTTATTTCCTTATTTTAAAAAACTTATTTAAACTTATACTATTTATTTTCTAAAACATTGGTCTTATGTATAGGGATTTGTACACCTTTGTTTACGCGTATATAAAAAAATTAGACAAATAAAATTTTTTACAGTTTTTTATTTTGTTTTATTTGATGAAGAGTCATAACCTTTGGTCAAAAAGAAAAAAATATTGTGGGCTACAAAAAGCATCAAATCCATCAAATGTAAATGGAGATACATCAGATATTTTATCAAAAGTTATCTTTAAATGCATAAATGCTAACAATATTTTGTCAAAGGTTTTGGCTACTTTTGCAGACAATACCAATAAGAATTTCAGAGCTATAAAACCAGTCGGTAATAACAATATTCAAAAAAAGTTAATCGTCAAGCTAAAACACGGTAAAAAAATTGAGAAAGATGATATTTCTGCTGCTGAAGTTGCCATCGTATTAAAGGATTTGAAAGAGCAGATAAAATGTGGAAAAGAAGAAAAATTTCTACCTTTCCTAGTAAGGCAGCATTTGCAAATTACCAAAGAAAGTAATCATTATTTGAAAAACCAATTTCTGAAAGAAGTAGACATTTTTTATAGTGTTTGTCTAGAATATATAGATAAGTGGATTTGTTGAATGTGACAAGTGATAGGTTAAAATTTTTTCTTAATTTAAAAACAACCACATTCCTTATAACAATTTGTTAAAACTAGTGGAAGCCACTGTTTGCCAGGTACAAACGCTTCTGTAGAGTGATTATTTTTGATTGTCAATGATATTTGGACTATAAGGGAAATTCCAACTTACAATGAAAACTTTGACAGCTATTTTTTTGTTAACTTTAATTTAAGAAAATATGACTGTTCAAAATTTGCCGAAAAAATTTCCTGAAAAGTATTCATTCTTATAAAAAATATTTGTGATTTAAAAATGCAAAAATTGTTTAATACTATTTCCATAATTTCTTCCACATGCTAATTTAAAATAAATAAACTTTCATAAAAATTGGTTCAAACCAATTTAAATCAGGCCCGGAAGTAGGGGAAAGCGAGTTGAAGCAAGGGGAGGATGTGCTCCCTTGCTCCTTGTCCTATTTTTGGCCACTAAAAAATTGAAATAGAATATTTTAAATAAAAAATTATTTTAACATATATTCAAATATTTTGTTATTACAACACTATAGAAATTCTGTTAGTACTAAAGAAAGGGCCCTTTTTTACCCTTACCCTTTTTTTTTTTTTTACAATACCCTTTTCTCGTAGTCGAAAGAGACTTTTATGGTAAAAAAAAAAAGTCTCTTTTAATATCAATTTTGCTACTTAAACAATTAAGCTTTTATTGTCGTCAAAAAATTAAAATTAAATTTATGCAGAACATCTAAATTTATGCAGAAATTAAGTTTTGTTGTTTTTTAAAACACTGCAATAATAATGACTAAAAAGCTTTTATTAATTAATAGTGTTTTTGGTTTTCTTTTATTAAGTTCACAAATATCAAATTTTTGAAATAAAATACCTGGAAAGCAGCTTCATTTTCCAAGAAGCAATATTCATCAAAGTTCTGTGGTTCATCTCCATCATCATCAGTAGATTCATCTATGCGAGTATCAAGTAACGTTCCTTCAGATAAACAATCAATTTTGAGCTGAAAAAACAGTGTTGGTTTGTGCTAACTTTTTGTTGCTTATAAAATCTTATAAATTTCAACCAAAATTTCAAAATTATATTGATAAATTGTTAAAAATAAATATAAACATCAAATATGGCCATCAGGAATCAATAGCAAAACAGTTGGAGTAGTCACTTGTCTTAACTAAGGACACTTGCATATAAAATATATTATATATAATTACAGGAACATTGTAATGAAAAATCTTATTTATTTTTTCAAACTTCACAGGGAGTTGGGAGGAGTTTTAGTGGCTCCAAGAATGTTTCAGACCTCAAGTACACAAAAAAAAACTAAATATTTTTAAGTTTTTCCTTTGTACTTGAGGTCAAGAGAAAAGCAAAATATTGAAATATAATCCAATTAGTCCAATTTGTATGACTAATACCGTTTATTAATTAAACCAATCAAATAACCTGACTTAATGTTACCTGAAAAACCTGACTATTTAGTTAACAAAAATACTTAAAAAAAGATTGCATTGTAAACATTTTGACTCTGTTTATACAAGAACATTATCGAGTTTGTCAATTATGCACTTTAAACCATGCCTAGCTTTGGCTCGTACCAAAAATATGATTGCTTTATTGGAAACTATTGATATGATCTTTTGAAAGATAGCCTTACCCAGTCCTGAGATAAGAACTATTTGAGGTTATTTAACAACTGGAAAGTTAGTTTAGAGGTTATTTAACAAAGGTTAATTTAACAACTGGAAGTGGAAAGCCAAAAATGCCAAAAATTAATTGAAAGAATCAAAAATTGTTGGAAATAAGTCACTCTTTAAGTTTGTAAGTTAATTAAAAAAAGATTGAATACAGTTTGTCTTGAAAAATATTTTAATCCTATTCCAACTATCTTATTGAGATAACTGTTTTTAAACCCCCTCTTGATAAATAAATTTTTCTTAAAAGTTTTTATTTTTTTGCATGCTTTTTCTCAACCAGCTTTTTCTCAATTTTTTTATCCCAGCAATACAATACAATAATCATTGTAAATGTTTTACATCACAGCAATACAATACAATAGTTAATGTAATTGTTTTACATCACAACCATACAATAAAATAGTTTTAGAGCTTCAATGTATTGTTAGAAGAAAAAAAAACAATACAATAGTTATTGTAACTGTTTTTATTCACAGGAATACAATAACCATAAATAATGTTTTAATTGCATCTCTGGTATTGCAATACAACATTATTGTATTGTAATTGTTATTGTATTGTAATTGTTATTGTATTTAATTTTTACAATAACAATAACAACAGTCCTAACCCTAGTTTCCATAGCTTTTTGTCTTACATTATCCAACAAGGTATTGACGAAAATCTTCTTTCCACCATTCCTCAGGAAAACTTAAACAGTTCTAAGGATTAAAGTCAAAATTCATAACATTTTTCTCTAACTCACTCCTTTGTTTCTTTAATTTATGATTTTTAATCTTGGTTGATTTATCAGTATAAAGCAGATTTGATTTGTGTAGCTGTTTGTTGTGTGTTTCTTTATATCCATGGTACATATTCTTATATATATATATATATATATATATATATATATATATATATATATATATATATATATATATATATATATATATATATATATATAAGAATATGTACATTAAACATGTTTTTTTCTCCATATTTTTAATTTCTCTAAAACACAATTTATGATCAGTTTTGAATTAACTAATACCATGCAATCCATGAACTGTTTTAGCAGCAATTTGAAATTGTTTTTGCAGCAATTTGAAATTTTAATGACAAACTGTTGCAAGGTTTCAACATTTTCTTGCTTTGTATTTTTAAACACCCAATACTGGGAATATATTTTTTCTAGTATCTTTCTCAGAAATTAGATTAAAAACCCACTATGATGCTTGAAGGACTATCTATTTAACAATTCAAACATTTTTTTGGTTGGTCCACTTCATGACTGAATTCTATTTCAATTTTTTTAATTTGGTATATTGTTCAGTTTCTTATAATATTTCCTCCTTTTTAGTACTAGTGCAGTAGATCTGTCAGCAATTCAATTACATTTATAGTTTTTTTTACTTAAAGTATGACTAAATTAGTGATTTTGATAGCAATAAACACATATAATAAGTAAATTATCTAATATGCTTTTCCAATATACTTTATAATTAGTGACAGGATACAACCATTTAAAAAAAGCATCTTGATATGTATGCTTTTATTGAAATTCATTTATGTTTCAGTCATTTATAGACTTAATTATGTATACTTTAATTTTACTTTGGCCTTTTTCTCAGTAACAACAAGGCCAATGTGGTTTATATTAAGAATTTAGCTTATTTTCATAACATATAGTAGTTTAACTTTCTAATTTCATAATTTATAAAAAAAGGCCTAGGATTAGGAAAGATAATATAATTTATATACATTAGAAAATTATAAATATGTTAATCTACATTAGATCTAAATACAAAATAGTATGATTTAAGAGTTCATTATTACACACAGGCATGTATCTTCCTAATTTCAGGCTGGAAAAGGAATTATTACAAAGGGGTAACTTCTACTTCAGATTAAACATCTAGGGGATTATTTTTAACAAAAAAAAGGACAATGTGTCCATTTATTGTTTAAACCATGGTTCTGAGACAATCTCCAATAGCAAGATGGTACTTCAAAAGAAGTGGCTGCTCCCATGGTAGTTAATGACTACAATGCCTTCAAAAGACATCAGGAAACAAAACCTAAAGCTCATTACACTTCATCACAGAAGGGTATTTATAAAAATCAGTTCAGGCCTCATTCAAAATAGGCCTTTTTTCTGCATTTGGTAAAAATCCCTGATTGTATTTAACTTGTTGTTGTAAGTTAGTGAAATAGAACCAATATTAAAATACCTTCTAACAATGTTGTTATTAATAACAACATTGTTAGAAGCATTGTTAGAAGATATTAATAACAACAAAATTAATTGTTGGTATTATGGTTGTTAATAACAATAATTTCTTAATCAATTTGTTAACAATCAATTTTAGCCAAAAAAAATTGTTTGAAAAAATAAAAGCTTAAAAACAGCTAATAATATGGTAATAAAAAAAATCACACCTTATGCGCATCAATCATAGTATCATCTCTCATTGCATCCGCTAATGTAGCATCTCTTATTGCATCTGCCAATAAAGAATTAATTTGCGATGTATCAGAAGGAGAAGGTGACGGAGAAGGCATATCTAAATCCTAACAATTATTTTGCTTTAAAAGTGCAAGGTGTATAAGGTGTATAAAGATGTATACATATGTATAACTAGGTAAAAACTCAAACTCATGTATATACCTTAATATATTTTATGTATATACTATGTACATGTGAGTGTATATATATATATATATATATATATATATACATATATATATATTATATATATATATATACATATATATATATATATATATTATATATATACACATATATATAATATTATATGCTTATTACATGTTTATTATATGTTTCTATTAGATATACATATTTTATATGTATATATAATATATATGTAATAGGTATATATATACATATATATATATATATATATATATATATATATATATATATATATATATATATATATATATATATATATATATATATATATATATATATATCTATATATATCTATTACATGTATGAAGACACACATGTGTGTGTGAGTGTGTATGTGTGTGTGTGAATGTGTGTGTGTGTACCCACATGTAATAGGCATATATACATGCATAAAAGCAAGAATTTTACATTTACATAGTATATCTACAAAAGTTACAAACCAAACATTACTGATGAGAATAATATAAGCAACTTATAAGTAATAGCAATGAAAAAAAAATCTTTTGCATGCCTCACTAATATACATAAACATACCTCTACTGGGCCACAATCATTGTTCTTAATAACATCATCATCTTTTTGTAGATCACCGCCTGATGCAACATATTTAATAAACTTCATTAATTCCAAACAGGAATCAGAGCATGTGCGAATATTAAGCATGTTATTTGACATTGCAAGATCAACAATAGGTAGTCGTTTGTCAGTTCCTTTGGTGAGCTTTAGTGATAACTCAAATGTCCCCATATCCATAAGGAGAACATATTCATTTGTTTCAGAATCTATTCCTTTATTGCAAATATAAAAAGATGTATCTTCCATAACAAACCTTGAAAAACAAATTTTTTTTAATGTTTTCTTTTTTTTTCAGTAATAATAAATAAAAAAGTTAAATGTCAAATGTCACATTAACATAACGCAACTCCATATATCAAATCAATTATTAAATACTATTTTAAAGAAGAAATTAAACTTCGAACAATAAATTTTTATTTAAATAGTTCAGTTTTTAATTAAGTTTTTATTTCTTATTATTATTTTTTTTTTTATTATTTTATATTTTATATTTAATTTTTATTATTTTATATTATTATTTATTTCTTATTATTTCTATTTTATTTTATGCATCAAGCCTAAATTCAGCATAATACCTGATTAAAAGACTATAAACAGTTAGTTTCTAAAAAGAAACACATATCTAAATTTACAAAGAATACAACAATCAATCAACATTACTCCAATTACAAAACATCAGTTACAAAAAAAAAACATAAGCCAGCCACTACACCAACCGTCTAATACACATGAAGCTTGAAAATAAATCCAACCTAATAGCAAGATACTAACTTCAGGACAGCACATGGAAATAATCATAAAAACAGTTTCATCTAAACTACCTATTATAAGATATTAACAACATATCTATAGAAATTTATAGAACTTTAATCATGTGTAAGTATAAATTATGTAATGTAAAATTTTTCTTTTTCTCTAATTTCTAAACTTTTTACGCCATAGAATTTAAATAAAAATTGATAGATTAGTTGCAATGGAATAATCTTTTCCATATAATATCATTTTTCCATATAATATTTTGTACATAACTAAATTATGTGGTAAAGTGAAAAAAAAAAAACACAAAAAGAATGAAAATGACGCTATTTATTAATAATTTAAATATATACATTAAACAAAATTTATCAACTGTGAAAATAAGTTTAGTCAGTAATACCTCAATAAAGACGCAGTTGATCCAGGTACAACATTACTTGATAAACTGAAGGACTCAAATATGAATAATGTTTGCAAGGGAATATACAAAGGTCTAAAATCAAAAATCATCATCATCATTATCATCATCATCATCATCATCATCATCATCATCATCAACATCATCATCATCATTATGAACTTACTTGTAGTCAACAGCACAACTTTTTAAATTTAAATGGAACAAAGTAATGACAAGAGGGGGATTGTATCCTTGTATGGCAAAATCTCTCACATCCAAGAAATCCATTATCTATAATTTAACTACAAAATTTAAATTAAAGAATATTTTTAAGCAAAGCCTATCCAGTCATAAATTCATAATTTACTGTAATCACTATAATGATGCTATGATATTCTATATACAAAATTGAAGCAATTTAGCAACAAAATTTATTAAAAAAACAACAAAACTATTTACACTATTTGCAGGAAAGGTTAGACAAGATATTCTAGAATGTAATTTGAATTAATTAACAGGAGTTTTGCAAAGTGGATAGACTTTGTTAGGAAGGAGCAACCTTTTAATTTGGTTTACTTTGCCATATATTTTTACGTATAAGTAACTTATTTTATTTTATATATAAGTACCTTATTAAACATACCTGAGTAAACCAGCTTTGAGATGAAGGCAATATACAATAGTTCAGTGTACCACTTTGAAACGACAAAGAAACAATATTTTCCTAGAAGTTATTAAATTTAGTTTGAAAACAACAATAAATAAAAAATGATTTAAAAAAAAACAATAAAAAAAAAAAGCTATTTTAAATTTTAAACACATATAAAAACTTTAAAGACTTTTTTTTTCAATTATTAATTTATGTATTTAAGTAACTTTTTTAACAAAAATTTTTCTAGCTATTTTAACAATCGTTTTGCAAACTTATCTCCAAAAGCATTATATTAAATTTTTTAGTAATTAGTATGTAGCCAGCTAGTGATCATTATGCAAAATGACTCTAAAGGTATTTTGCTGAAATTTTTCTTTGTTACTATGCAACCAGCTAGTGAATAATAACTTATTATAAAAACTTAAAACGCTTGAAAACTTGAAAAAAAAAAACACAACAGTCAACTGACTGTTGTGTTTTTCAAAGTTTTTCTTCGGCTCAAGATACCATTGCATGGCATTTTGAAATATAACTTTATCAAATATAATGTAATCAAAATATGTCTTTCATATAAAAGATCAATAATGTTCAAGAGGAAAAGTTGAACTAGCTGAACTAGGCCTGTTAAACTTTGCTAAAAAAAACTTTTTTAGCAAAGTTCATTTAACAGACCTAGCAGCAGGAAATGGGGTTGGAAAAAAGCTGCCTACGTTGATAATTGAAAAAATAAAACCACTAGGGCTTTTTATTGCATGAATGTTGTAATGGGATGATGAATCAACAAACACTTTAAAGAATTGTTTTAGAAATTGTTTTTGAATGGTAAAGCTGATCCTTTCAAATTGCTCGAGGAGAACATCAATGCGCTTGATCAAATGGTTTATTAGAACACGTGGTTTATTAGATCATGACTTAGGTAAATTTTTGAGATCTGTATAAGTAAAACAACTGCTATTCTGGATGCTACTTGAGATGCTTCTGGATGCTACTTGAGATGCTTCTGGATGCTACTTGAGATGCTTCTGGATGCTACTTGAGATGCTTCTGGATGCTACTTGAGTTGCTTCTGGATGCTACTTGAGATGCTTCTGGATGCTACTTGAGATGCTTCTGGATGCTACTTGAGATGCTTCTGGATGCTACTTGAGATGCTTCTGGATGCTACTTGAGATGCTTCTGGATGCTACTTGAGATGCTTCTGGATGCTACTTTAATCAACAATTGTGCTGAGGTAGAAGAGGAAATAGATGAAGCGTCAAACAATTTAGCTTCTGAAAAACTGAAAATTATCAGAGATTGCACATGCAATAGAAGTACTTTAATGTTGGTCTCTTTTGGACAATAATGGTGTCAAAATCTGACGATCACTAAGCTGCGTATCAATGATAAAAATTCTTCAGAAATAAAAAACAGTCGAAAATGGTTGATTAAAAAAAATAATAATAATAGTAATAAGTTTGTTTTTTCAAAAACAAAAAAGTTATGGAAAATAGACTTATAATAACTTTTTCAAAAATTTGTAAAGAATTTATTATTTTACAAGTAAAAGACTTAAGCAGAATTTTTTTCTTTTTTCATTTTACTTTCTATTTTTGTAGAAATCGAAATTTATCAGATGTAGTTAGTGTGCTTGCCTCAGAAGCAAGCTGCCCAGGATTAAACGCGAGCTCTGGGCATGTTTTCCGCTATCAGTAAAGAAGTAGGCATGAACTTTTTAGTTAATGTTATTCCTTAGTGCTTTGTAACAAAACTGTTATGACTGTTATGCGTCTGTTATGCGCCTAAAAAAATTTTTTAAATTGATTTTAACATGAAACAAGTCACTTTAAAGAGGACTTTTAACTATTCCAAATTTCGGTTATTTGAAGTAAACTCTCATTTCCCTAGAAGGTTCAAATAACTGGGAGTTTACTGTATTTAGAAAAAACATTTAGAAAGGTTAACACAATAACCATAAAAGATGTTTTAAAAACAATTTAAACTTAAAATTTCTTAAATTTAAAAGTTTAACCTTTTATTACCTTTTTTTTCAAATTTGTATCAGTGGTACATTTTAAAGCTAATAACAACATTGGCTCATAACTTTGTTCTTTACATTTAGCACGAACATGACTTTCTGAAGGATTCATAACTAATGTTAAGCCACTAGTTGCAACAGCATCTTCGATAACTGATGTATCAAGTGTTGAGCAAACAGTTGGGTTATGATACAAGTTTATACCATCAGCATAAATTTGCATGTAATCCATATTAGGTTGACCTTTATAGCCTGAAGCTAAAAAAAGATGTCCATCTTGTATATTTAACACTGTGTGTCCATAACCAATCAAAGATGAATCTACATCACTCTAAATGTCAAAATAAAGTACATTAAAAATATTTATTGAAAGTTATTAATTGGATTTATGGATTTTCGTTGTTAGTTTTATTTTTGTAATTCATTTTTTTAATTTTTTTTTCTTGCTTATTATAGGTTTAAAGATGCATCATTTTGACAATATAAAAATATTATTTTATTAAAAAATATAAATTAAAATTAATTAAATTAACTTAACAAAATTAAAATTCTAAAGTAAAAAACTTTTCAATCAAAACAACATTAAAAAATGCAGGTAATGCAAAGTAAAAAACTCTTTTGAACCTAAGCTACACATGGTAAACTAAAACAGTTCAATGCTTGCAAGTATTAACAAATTTTGTGTATGATTTTTGTGTATGACAGCTTTTGTATGATGGTTTTGATCCAAAAATGTATATCTTTGTGGCTTTAATTCAGACTGCATGACTTTAAATTTCAACCTGTGCTACTTTCAATATGGTTCAGTTAAAAAAAGTTTTTATGTCTAATTTTAATTTTAGATTTATTATATATATTTTTTAATAATTAATATATATTTTTATATAAATATATTAATATATAATATATATCATAAACTCATTTGTGACTCAGGGCTAACATACTATATAATATTAATTACATATTTCATAATAAAAAACACAATAAAAAAAATTAAAAACTTTAAAAACAACTATATATGAACATACTTTAGGCATACATTAATAAATAAAATAAAATAATTACTTTTAAGGGTGGAAAAAAAGCAATTTTTCCAGAATCAATATGAATGGAGAAACAAAGATTAGTTTGTTGATGACACTTAAGTGATTGTAGAGGAGAATCATTGTACTCTGCAGATATAAAGCTTGCATCAATAGAATTAGAATCATAAACTAAAATATATACAATAATAGTTGGCAACTAATATACATAAAAACTCTTACTAAAGCATGCACACATTTATGTATATATAAATGTATATATATATATATATATATATATATATATATATATATATATATGTATGTATGTATGTATGTATGTATGTATGTATGTATGTATGTATGTATGTATGTATGTATGTATGTATGTATGTATGTATGTATGTATGTATGTATGTATGTATGTATGTATGTATGTATGTATGTATGTATGTATGTATGTATGTATGTATGTATGTATGTATGTATGTGTGTATGTATGTATATATACCCTACCATTCATAGTTATTCAAATGACATTAATTTTTTTAAATAATATTTTCATTCAATTATTTTTTATGTTTATTTTTGCACAAATTTAAAAGTATTTTGATTAAAATGCTTTGATAAAAATCATAAGAATATCAAAAAAAAGTGGTCAAAACTACATAAAAAGTAGAGCATCAAAAAACGTGAACCAACGTGTCGAGGTTTTAGATCTTTGGTTTCAAGAATAGTTTGTTTGTCTAGAAAAAAAATCGTTGAATGTAAGATAAAATAGAGTATATTATCGATTGTATAACATAGTGGATGGAGTGTTAAGGTGTGGAGCTGTTTTGATTGAGATGCCACAAGTGACTTATATGTGAAAATATATGACAAAATTAGTTTACTTGTACACTTAAAAAATTATGCTACACCTTCAGAAAGATGGGTTAATGGGAAGACGTTTTTTCAGAAGAAAATGTCTTGAAGCATAAATTTAAAACATATTTTTCAAAAACTTCTTTAAGACTGAGTTTGAAAACAATCAAATATTAAATAAAATGATATAGCCTTCCCAATCACAAGATTTCCTTCCTATCAGATTTTTATAGGAGGAATTAAAAGTAATGTCAAAAACTTATGCCTAATGGTGCATAAGATGTGGCAAAAACTTATTAGTTAGTGGCATCAAAAATGTATGTTGCTAAGGGGACTTTATATTAATTTTTCTGTAAATCTAATAAAAAGGAAGATAAAAAATAACATAGACCTTGCTTTCAGTGTCTCTCCCAAAAGTAAGTAAACTTTAATATCTTATATTGAAAAGTACATCATTCGAATAATTATGGACGGTAGTGTATATATATATTATATTATACTATATTATATATATATATATATATATATATATATATATATATATATATATATATATATATATATATATATATATATATATATATATATATATATATATATATATATATATATATATATATATATATATCATTAAAGTAAAACTAATAATACACTTGAAAAAAGCATATCAAATGACAATCAAAATAAAAAAATCTAACACAATGATTTGATAAAAAGAAAAAAAAAAAAAAAACTTACAAGTAATAACTTTTTTTTATCACTGTTATGAAAGTATATTTAAATATACTATAAATTTTTATAAAATGTTATGAAAGCATATTTAAATATACTATAAATTGCATATGCATATATATCAGTAGAGTAGCTACAAAAAAGCACTCTCTTGCAAAACTTTAATCTGGGCCCCTAAATATTTTCTATGGCTTACCCCCCCCTCCCCCTTGACAAAAAAAAAAATTGTGTATGTTCTTTATCGCATACTTAAAAACAACCCCCAATCCTTATATTATTGGAGTTATTATTTACAATATATAGAATCTTAGGAAGCTTTGTTTTATACACTTGTAGTTGAAATAAACACACCTTTTTTTGCAATCTTGTCATTGTTAGAAAATGTACATAAAAATAAAAAGTGCTATTAAATCATTTTGTTTGATATCAGTACAAATATCTAAAAATCTTTTAGGTGCAGTCAAAAAATCTTCTAGGTCCGCAGTAAATCATGTTACAGCATGTAAGTATGTTAAACATCAAATATGCAAATTTGTCTATAAAGTATTTTAACATCTTTTAAATTTAAATACTAAAAACAAATTTAAGCTTTAATAGTTAATAGGTTTAGTTGTTCGATTGTTGACTTAGTTGTTCGGTTGTTAGGACAGACAAAATATTGTGCAATTTTTTTCTGAAATGTTTTAATCTCTTTTTATTGCAAAAGTTTGTCCTGACTCTAATCCTATTGCTGGCCAAATATATCCTATATTTTATTACTTTTTTTTAAAGAGGAAATGGAAAATATAAATTGCTATTTGCTTGTAAAACATATTTGTATAAATTTAATGTAACAAGTATATATTGAATGCGCCTATGTAATACATGCGTATACTTTATGTTTCGCATTTTATTACACATAATATACAGTTATATATAATAATTGTTCACCAGACATTTACTAATTGCAAATTTTTTTTTAAAGAGTAGTAAGCTATTGTTTTACCAAAATATTTTGCATTTCTTAGCTACATAATTATAGTACAAATTGTAATGCTGCTATGTTTATAAAAATGAATCTTATTTTTTATAGTGGTAAATTTTTGAAATTTTTTTTAAAAAAAGTTCAGTTGAGCTCTTTATAACTCTGGGCCCCCACCACTCCCACGACTGGGACTTTGCTGGCCCTTTGCAAAGCTACTAATATACATGTATTAGTTGAACACAATGAAATTCAGCACCGTTTAAATGTTAATTAAGCAAAAACTACTTAACAGATTTTTGTAATTTTTTGACACAATGAAGCTAATTAAATTATTTATTACAATAATATTTTACATTTCTTATCGGACGCTTAGATAGAAACCTAATATCTTTGCGAGTACTTGACACCATCTGGATCTTGCTTTGAGTTACTTTTTTTGAGGCAACTATCCATTTTTTTTTTAAATCTTTTCCATTTGTAGCTGATTTCATAATTTTCAATAAGATTCTTTTTATCGTTGACCAATAACTTTCAATAACTCGCTGCTCAGGACAATTTGGAGGATTTACTTCCTTAGATTTGATGCCATTTTGTTCATACCATTCTTAAGACTTCTTGGAGTATTGAATTGTAGCCAAATCAGGCCAAAATATTGTTGGCATTTCATGCTTTTTAATAAATGGCAAAAGAAATTTCTTTAAGCATTCTTTTATATATAAATCAAAGTTTTACGAGTAATGTAAGGTGTAATTTTTAAACAACAGCAGAGGATTGCTTGCTAAAATACTGCTGATAAAAATATTGCTGCCCTGGCAATTGCGAAAAAAGTTCTTTTCACGATAGGTTTCATTGTCTTCAATTATGCACAAGTTTTCTCAGTTTAAAAGTTTATATAACTTTTTTAAACAACGAATTGCTTTAATTTCTCCAAACCGTTTTGGAATTTTCTTTTTATGATATGCTTTATAATCTTGAGATTTATGTACAATTCATTTTAAAGCTTGGCTGCATTTAAATTTTCTCGCAAGATCTCTCTGCGACTAACATGGATTTACTTTTATGGGGCAAATGATTGATTTTGCTTTATCTTTTTTATCTTTTAAACCTTTCTTTTTTTAATTTCCAGTTTCCATGGCCAAGTAGTTTTTGAGTAATTAAGAATTAAAAGGTGCTGAATAAATCCAACTGATGATCAAGAAACACCTGTCAAATTTAAAATGTCAACTTGCCAAAATGTAGGATTTTGAAGAACAATTTCTAAAACTTTTTTTCAATTTAATATTTGTTTACTCATTTTAGTCCAATAGCAATAATAACCAATACTTATTACCATTACAATCAAACAATAACACATTAGCTTCCAAATGCAAAAAAATTAAAAAAATTTGTCAAGTAGTTTTTGTGTAATTAACAATTAAAAGGTTCTGAATTTCATTGTGTTCAACTGATACACACATACATATATGGGCAATTCCACGAGAAAGAGGAAAAAAAAAAAGAGCAAAAAAGTTATGAAAACACATACTAAACTCCAAAACTTTTTTTTTAACTATTTTAAAATACTTTTAAGCAGAAAAGTAATTTAAAAATATCATTTTATCATACCACAGCATGGTTTTAAAATTGAAAGGGTCATAAAAACGTGTTTTGACGTTTATTTACAGCCTCGTCATATAGTGTTAAAAGTCATGCATTTTTTTAACATAATATACATGGTTGTAAATAATAATTATTTGTGTTGTTATATTTATTATCTTTAACATTGGATGACAACCATGACGACAAAAAAAAAACACAAAAAAGCTTGTAAAACTTTAAGTAAAAACTATGAAACTCAGCATATAGTAACATTAATATGTGCAAAATACACACGCCAAAGGATTTTTTTTTTTTTACCATCCCGTTCGCAGCATTAAGTCCAACAAAGTTGTTTTGTTTGGAAGTGGTAAAAAGTAAACGTTACAATTGTCACGCTATTTAGAGTTAAATTTTGAAAAAAGTTTAAGACTTTAATGCGGTAACTTATACATACAAAATTATATGATTTCACATTTCTGGAAAGTTTCAAGTCATTTCCATTTTTGGTTCATTTTTAATAACTTAAAGAGTGTCAAATGTTACGAACACCACTCTCAAAATTGCCCATATATATATATATATATATATATATATATATATATATATATATATATATATATATATATATATATATATATATATATATATATATATATATATATATATATATATATATATGCCCAATATTTAGTCTGCTGTAAGCCTTTTTTATTATACATTTTATACCCCCATCGAATAGTTAAATTTTTTTTTTTTTAATTTAAATTTTGATTCAAATAAAAAAATTGCTTAAAAAAAAAATAAGATTTAAACAGACTATTTTCCAGAACATTACAGAATAGAAATTTTTTTCAGAATTTTACAAAATGGACTTTTTCCAAGTATCAACAATGTTGAAGGATAATTAGTTTATGCAAAGAGAAAAGATCCATCTTCTTAGATTTTACTTTATTGTTGTTTTAAATAATGTAATTGTATTTATTCAACTCAATATATAAGTTAAACAAAGCATTTAGCTTTCCATTTTTCCTCACCTTTTTTTTTACTACAAAAACTGTCATAAACTAAGTGTTTTAAAAAAAAAAATTAAAAAAATTAATCATATTAAAAAAAATTGAAAGTCATTAAAAAAATAAATTACTATCTCTAATGGCTGAGCGGCACATAAAAAACTTATCACCACCAGTATTCAATTGCCCAATATGACTTGCAAGGTTTATGTGTACACCTTCATATGGATTACCCATTTTAGAATAAAACTCTTCTTGGGTTGGTGCCAGCGGTTGCCACATTATCAGGTCACCAAACAACCTTTTGATTATACAAAATATATTTTAAAGAAACAAAAAAAACAACAACAAAAAAAAAAAATTAAAACAAAATAAATATATTGATAAACAGACATTTAAATACTTCAACAAATAATTTTTTAATTTATTTAACTAAATAATAAATAAACTTTTTTTTATTTATTTATCTTTATAGTATGTATATGTATATATATATATATATATATATATATATATATATATATATATATATATATATATATATATATATATATACACATACATTTTAGGATTGAGCTTTTACCAAAAATTTACAGGTAAATCAGTAAAACTGTTATGCCGATTAACCGGTAGAGTTATACTGGTAAATTTCATTAAATTTTTACTATACTAACATGGAAAAGTTGTCAACAAAGTTGTCAACAAAAGCTCTAACAAAGTCAAAAAAACCTAAAATATATAATTTTTTCCCAAGCACAACTAATTGAAGAGGTGATTTCAAGATTATATATTTAAGGATAGATTTAGTTTCCATAGCATTGTTAACAGCTCTTTCATTCTAACTATGTTGTGAACAAGAATTTTACATAAAATCATTATTCTATCCAGTTAGTTAAAAGTTTGCAGATAGCATGAGAAATTACCATAAACATAAATATACTTGACAAGAAAATAGAAGACAAGCAGATGAAACAAAACAATGCACCATCACACCTGTAAGCATTAGCATTCTCTAAAATAACAAAAACAATTTGTTCTTTGATACCAAGTCTTTCAGAATATTTATTTTATTTTTCAGAACCATACTTAACTCATCCTTTACTATTTTAACTGTTTCAAACTACCATTTAGAACGAGACTGTATATATGATAAGCATATTACTGGGATATAAAGACACACCCAATACCATTTAACCTACATGCAAATTAACTAACTTTCATACAAACAACAACTCTTACCCTACTAAATGTACTAAATACCTTCCCCATAACCACACAAAAAAAAAAAGAATAGATAATGGAGAGCAAATAACTTGTGTACATACATTATCAGGATATAAAGAAAAATTGGTATAATATTCCTATAAGTGATTGTTGTGGATCTTTATATGATCCAACATGAGTGGATCATATAAAGGTGCACAATCTTGCTTTTGGCAAATTACTTAAAATTCTCCTTGTGCATAAATTTATGCGGTGTTCATACAGCAGAATCTTGTATTCAAGATAACAACATTAAACCCACTGCAGGTCACTCTGTAGGTGCAACCATATACATTAAACCCACTGCAGGTCACTCTGTAGGTGCAACCATAAAATAAATCATCAGATATTAACAAAAATCTTGAAAGTAAATTGTAAAATTCACATTAAAGATAAGGTCATCAAAACATAGTAAAAAAAAATGTACTTGAAAATTTACCAAGTAACTATTAATTTTAAAACAGATAAAATTTTTATGAAATTCTTTATTCAATAAAAATACCATTTAACTTTAAAATTAACAGCCAGTATTTTTTAAAAATTTACCTTTAAATTTACTCGTAAGCTTGACCTTTGCAACACAAAGTTAGAAACCAACACAATTAAAACAAAAATACAGAAAACACACATTGTAGATGAGAACAGACAAACTAAAGATAAATAACACTCACACTTCCCTTACCTCTGCTATAAAATACTTTTTTTGAACACTAAGCAAGATCCAAAAAAAAACCCATCTTCGGCATAGTTTATTAACAAGACTGTAATTCAATAATAAACAAATAAAATGGAGAATTAAAAATGGAGTGTTACCTGATACAAAAATGTACTTTTATTATTGAACAATATCTAATGAAAAAAGTTTGGCAGCTTCAAAAGTTTCATACAAAATATTAATGAAATAGTAACTCTGTATATCTAGTATTGAAATATTAACTGTAAAGAAATTGATGGAAAAATCAGGGATATCGGATCAGTCGATCACTAAACAAAATGATCATGTTTTAAATGTCAATTTTAAAGCAGTGCATGAGGACTTTGGTGAAAATCACAAAACATCAACTTATGTTGTGGATATGAATTATAAATTTCAAGCTCGATAAACTCACAAAAGATCTCCATGCTTTTCGAAGTTTAATCAACAAAAATGTGACCATGGTTTTCAAAGTTTAATCAACAAAAATGTGACCATGGTTTTCAAAGTTTAATCAACACAAGAACTAAAGCCTATTAAACATGCACAGAAAAAGTTTGAATAGATTATCACATATAAATAAGAGCTCATTTTTTGAGTAAAATCACCATAAACAATATTTCAAATTTGATTTCATTGTTAATTGCTATGTTCGGAATTCAAAGTACCTAGGTGTGTGAAAAATAAATGCACTCATGTGTCACTTTTTAGTGCAGTTTTGGGCATCATTAGACTATACTTTTTTAAAAACAAGACTGATAAAGTTGTGAATGTGATAAAATATCATTTTGTAAGAAAATGTGTAATAATGAGGCAAATGAGCAGTTTCAAAAAGTGCCACATACCAAACAGCCTGTAGAATAACTTAATTACTGCATGAGATATTTGCTAGTCATGTACTCTATTGTTTTAGGGATCATAATTAGCCTTTTAGATCATGTGATTTAACATCATTAGATTACATTTTATAGGGTTATTTTTCAAATTCAAAGATATGTCCATATTAATAAGCCCACAACCACCCAACTATAATTACCCAACCACAACCACCCATCCACAACCACCCATCCACAACCACCCATCCATAATCACCCATCCACTTCAGGAGAAAATGAAACACTGCATCAATACATTTCAGAAACATTCATGTGTGTGTGTGTGTGTGTGTGTGTATATATATATATATATATATATATATATATATATATATATATATATATATATATATATATATATATATATATATATATATATATATATATATATATATATATAATAGTTATACATAAATGTATAAATTAAAATAGTTATAAAAAATTTCAACTAAAGTGTGCAAAACCATGTAGCCATGTTACAATAATGCAACTAGAAAAGCTGGCAATTTTTTAACTACGGTAAAAAATTACCAGCTTTTTAAACTTAAAGTAAAGTACCTGTTGTAAATCAGTTCAAAGATTTCATGATTATGAAGGTTAGCAGACAACAATGGAAAATAGCAATTCACAGTAAACTTTGAGTTTTTAGTTGCAAATTCTTGAAAAGCATTCATTTCCTTTTTAGAAGCAGGTGTCACCATCTAAATAAAACTTTATTGTGCCATAAAAATTAATCATCATGTTTATATAATTACAATCATCATGTTTATATAACAATAATTTATATATATTTATATGATCATAATGATAAAAAAACTTTGGAAAAAAAAAAAAGCTAGAGTTAATAATATGATCAAAATCCTTGCAACTAACTAATGCTACAATGGTTTAACTCACAATAACTTATTTACTTGCAAGAATTTATTGCATTTGTCTTGGTAAGGTAAATGCAGTAAAAAAAATTAAAAAAATTTGTAAAAATAAAAGAAATATAACCGCTAATGAATACACAAGAGAGTTTAACCATTGCTTTAACCAAAGTTAAACCAAAGTTGTAAAGTATTTAGTTTTTTATAAAAAAATGAAATTAAAAAACTCACAACATAAAATGTAATCAAGAAGTAAATAGCTTTGAATTTTTCATTGTTATAAAGTTATTATATGTTTTTTTGGCTTCTTCATCACTTATTGTGATAAAGAAGTTTAAAAAAAGTTGAAATTAATTAGAAAGAATAAAGAGTTTTCACTTGATGTGAAATTTTTTTTCTAAAGATTAGTTATTGGAAAAATTTATGAAAAAAAAAATATATATACTGTTATTGTGATATTTGCCTAATTTTAAACTATTTAATTATTTAAGGTTATTATCAAATACAAAAACTATGAAATACATTGTTGGTAATGTTTAAAGTTTGAGGAGTTTTTTATAATTTTATCAATAATAATATCATGAAATTTGTCTATTAATGATTAAACTGTTTTTTGTAATGGTGTCATCACAACACAACAGTCTTTTTCAATATTGTTATTTTTATTTGTTTCTTGATTAACAATGGTTGGATTATCTTCATTTTGTTCAAACCGCAAGTTAAATAAATCAAAATAAATCTCTGAATAATTAAACAAATTTTTAAATTTTAAAATTTTGTTTTTTTAAGATTATACATAAATTAGTTTATAAACATATAATTAAAAGTGAAAAAAACTCTGACTTCGATAGTAAAACTTCTCGGTATTGCACGTGCATGTACAAAATATTCAATTAACCTTGTATTCATACTAAACCTCGAATAAATTTTCATAAATTTGGCAAAAAAAAAAATTTTTTTAACTTTGCATAATATTTTTTAAAGAATTCAAAAAAATTTTCAAAAATTTTTTGCTTTAGAGTTGGAGTTGTACTCCAACTCTAAGACAAAAATTTTTTTACGACTCCACACCCCTGGTGTTAACACCATACAACATTATACAAGCAAATAAATGTACTATCTGTAGTAACGAACCTGGTATTGCATACCCTAATAAACGGTGAAAAAAAGGTTTTAAAAAGAAACTTCCTATTTGGTGTCTTACGATCTTAAACATATACTTAATTAAAAGAAAGCATAATAAATTCTTTAAAGATGTTTGTCTTTGATTTTTTTCAAATTGAATTAGTGCATGATGTAAAAAAATTACAATGTTACAAAATAATATCTTAGAAACTTAGTTTTTCAGAATTAAAATTTTAAACTATGTATATATATATATATATATATATATATATATATATATATATATATATATATATATATATATATATATATATATATATATATATATATATATATATATATATATACATATATACATATATACATATATACATATAAATATATATATATATATATATATATATATATATATATATATATATATATATATATATATATATATATATATATATATATATATATATATATATATATATATATATATATATATATATATATATATATATATATATATATATGGGTACCTTAATCTTTCTTCAGTTATAAAATCAAATTGCATATGTGTGCATGTGCTGTAGTTACCTTTTGTGAATAATTTAAACCCATTTTTAGCTATGAGGTCCAATGTTTAGTACCACCTAAAGTTCGTTTTCTATTTCAATGTGGGGAAGAGAGGAGCTTGTGTGATTTTGCTTTTTAACATCTAATAATAATCCCTTTTGCTTTTTAAAATCATTAACAATACCTTCAAGAAAGATGGAACAATTTACATCTAAAATAGCAACATATCTTGCAAAAAGTGCCAAGACAGTATCCAGGAGGGTGCTAGGGGGCTTTTGATGCTCCCCCTCTTCATATTTGTAAGAAGGGGAGGGCACCAAAATTTTTTTGGATCAAACAGAAATCGAAAGAAGCCTCTATCATAAGTTTAGTATTTATCATAATTAACTATTATATTATAATTTTTAAAAATAAATCTTTACAAAAAACCAAAAGATTTATAATTTAAGAGTTTTAATTTATAATTTTCCAACTTTTTAAAGTTTTTTGTGTTTGTTGAGTGCCTTTCTTTGTGGTCTGCCACAGTAAGTAACAGGTTCTGTTTTAATGCCTCATTCTGTCACAGATGGGTGAAATATTGAATCAGTCTGATTCCTATTTCTGCTGTGTCATTGACAACAGTTAACCCATTGATAAATGTGTAGATAGTTGTAGTCTGAGAAATTGTGCATATTGTTAATTAATCTTAAATGATGAAAATTTACAAGACTTACAATTATATATGTAATATATAATAATAATAAAGATAATGATAATATTAACAAAAATAATGATATAATAATAATAAGATTTTGGCTATTTAATTTTTAACTGCAACTAACTTCTATCCAGTCTGTTTCCTTTAGGCTTAGATGTTGAAAAATCACCCAACTCTGAGATCCAACCAAACTGGGCAGACTAGCAATATTCTTTATGTTTAATTTAGGGAAGACAGGTTTCCAAGTTCAAATGTTTCAGATCTGGAACATTTTACCAAAGCTTGGGCAACGCCATCTCGGACATTTTCATCCAACTGATAATCTGTTAGTGCAAGGACAACATCTCTTCCTGTTAGAAACCACAAATGGATTTTTAAGCTCTTGATAGCTGCATTTGAAACAATTTCATTAAAATTCCATCATTTTTTGTTGCCTTTTCACTGCTTTTGTGTACTTCCTGTCTTTGGCACCCATTACAACTTTGTGCTCTCCTTTTTGATCTTCCAAGAATGCAACATCTGCAAGTCTCTCATCTTTAGTGATTTTTCTGTTAAACAAAATAATCTCAACAGCATTTTTGACAGAAATATCAAACAACTTCTTTATTTCTTTCTTAAAACATTCCCTTTTTCTCACTTTTGTTAGAAAGCTTCTGGTTTTGCTCTTTGTCAGCTTTATCCAACTGAAGTATCTTTAACCTGGTATTAACAATAGTATATTTTTGTAGTAAAAAATTTACTAAATGTATTAAACATTATAGTATTATATATATATATATATATATATATATATATATATATATATATATATATATATATATATATATATATATATATATATATATATATATATATATATATATATATATGTATTAAACATTATGGCAAATTTTGAATTCTAAATATAAAAAGAGCCGATTAAAAAAAAACATATTTTGGAAAATTAGTTAAATTATATTTTTAACTAATAGAAAAGTCTGAAGTATAAAGAACAGAACTTCTCTGCTAGAGATCCTTTACAGCACCAGCCACACACTGGGTTTTTCTTTCTGTCTGACATTCTGTATTAACTTTGCACCTAATCTCACAACTGTTAGTTGACTATAGACATGAAACAACAGAATTCTTCTTGACACTACTTGAAACCATCTATTTCCTTGTTTTTGTTAGGATCCGGTGATAAAGTTGCAGAACTTGTTCTCCAGTTGGTAACTGTGAAGCTGGAAGAACTTCAATAGCATCTTCCAGCAAGAAGATTCTGTGTTTCGATCTCACATCCTTCTTCAACATTTTTACACCAACCCTAAACTAATTTGTCACGTCAAATTTGTTCAAACAACCTTCAAATAAAAATAACCTCCCACTGAAAATTTCAGTGAATACAATTTTTTCCTCTTGTATCTGATTAATCTATCAATTGTTTGTTAATACTTAAAAATAATAATATAGTAGTTAATTATAATTGGGGGGGGGGGGGGTCCAAAAATCCATATATTTCTTGTTTAACCAGTTATTCTTTATTAAATTTTTGAGAAAAGTTCTAAAAACAATTCAGTTTTTGCTAATTTTTTATGGTTGACCTTCTACTTCTATTTTAAAAATTTAAACATATAAAAAATAAAAGTCTTTGCAAAATTTTCTTTACGTATAAAATTATGCAACTTTTCTTTAAATTTTTGCTATTCAAATTTTGATTGGATAAATTTGATTTTTAATCGTTGCGTTTAAGAAAAAAAAAAGATTTTATCTGAAGTCTTTTTCTGGAAATGCGTTTTAAATAAGTAAAATGACAGATTGCTTCAAAAAAAAAGTTTTATATGAAATCTCTTTCTAAACAAAACGTTTTAAGTAATCAAAAAGACAGATTGCTTCAAAATATCTTAATTTCCTTTTTTTTTTTTTTTCTTTTTATTCGTTATTCAAACTATCAAGAAGGCTATTCAGGATTTCTTTTTTTTTTTTTTTTCACTTTTCTTTAATGAAGTCAAGAATAAATCTTCTTTTAAAGTTCCAGTCAGTAGAAGTTCAGTTAAATTCTAAAGGTTTAACAACTCTAAAGATAAACAGGCTAAAGAAATACTGCTACCTAAAAGAGAAAAGTATTATGTGTTTGGTTGATGATGGAATATGATTAGCATTAACTTTCTAATTAAGTTGTTGCAGTTGGAAAGCTTTGGAAAAAACACATTTAATTTCAACAGTAGATGTATACTTAATTATTTAAACCATATAAAAAATGAAGGTTCACGTAATTTAAAAATATTTTGGAAAATTATTGTCCAATTATTTGTCCAAAAAGTTGAAACTATAAAATATAGTTCAAACTAGCTACAAAAACAAATGGATAACAGCGGAAGAGCAGCAAACATTACATCAGGTGTGCAAGATGAGTTCTATTTTAGTTTAATTAAAGTTACAAGGGAGCCCATTTAGCTGTGAACTAGACATTATTGAAGTAGATAAAGATATGTTAAAATGAAAAAAAAGTTCAAAAAATGAGGTTCTTTATTTTAGGGATATAAATAGGTCATTGTCGCGGAGGTCTATTCTGTTTAAATACATGATTGCTGATATAAAAATACAAACCTCCATTTTATGTCTATCAAAGAACATGCTCATAACCTAGATGCTCTACATGGAAAGTTCCCGCAGCAATCTCTATAAATCTTATGAAGACTTTTATAGTTATTTTCCATTTTCAATAGTAAATAACAAACTGTATGAATTATTTTCATTATAATGCTTAATTTTTTTTGTTACTTATAAATCAGAAGGTAAATTATTGATTAATTAAACAGAAAAAGATTTTTACTTTTCAACTTTTCTTATTATGATAATAACAATTTCATCTATTTTTAAAAATGCCTTTTTTTGTCAATATATTCACTTTTATTAAAATCGAAGTAGAAGGCTAAATAATTACGATGAAAAAAAAATGATTATGATTTTCAGAATCAGCATGAAGAACTAATTAAGAAAAATTGGTTAAACTATAAAAAATCTAAAAAAAGATGATTATGGACCCACATTTATGATAAATATTAAACTCATGATATAGGCTTCTTTCAATTTCTGTTTGATACAAATTTTTATTTGGTGGGGGGGCTGAGAGCCTCCCCCTTTGCAAACTTGGAGGAGAGGGGGTGGTCTAAAAAAGACTTTAAAGCTCACTTCAGATTTTATCTATAGTCAAAAATAAAAAGAGCTACCTTTTTTGGAAAAAAACAACTTTAGTTACAATGGAGTTTACAGCAATCTTTAAACATTTGCCTGAGTGTTATTAATTATGTTAAACATTTTCCAGAGTGTTATTAATTAAGTAAAATATTTGCCTGAGTGCTATTAATTATGCTAAAAATTTGCCTCAGTGTTATTAGTTATGTTAGACATCTTTAAACATTGCCTCAGTGTTATTAATTATGTTAGACATCTTTAAACATTTGCCTCAGTGTTACTTTGTTATAAAAAAACTAGTAATAAACCTACTTCACAAACTAAAGACTTTAATTTTGCAGGATTTATCAAAAAAAGAGAAAGTAAAAATTTTGATCTTTTTTCTTGAATAATATAAGGTTTATATTAATTTTACAATTACAGATCAGAAACATTTTTTAGATTTTCTTTCAAATAAATTTAATTTAATGTGTTATTTATAATCATCTTTTGAAATTTGTTTTATAAAATGCTTTCTGTGAAAACAAAAGTAAAAATACCTCAATGTTTTCGTACATATTCGGCTGACTGGAGAAAGGTGATGGTTCAGATTTCATCCAAGGATAATGATCTTCAAAAGAATCAGGTGAAGAACTTTTTGATCCTTGTTCAGTTTCCTCAAATACAGATTGTAAAACAGATGATGACAAATTAACTAAAATTCTAAAAAATTTAATGGGGTATATGAATTTATTGAATATTGATTTCAAAAATGAAACCAACACACAACAACTGCACTTTTATTGATTAAAAAATTTAAAATTAAAACAAAAATATGTAATATATAAAATAAAAAGTTAAATGATAGAAAAAATACAAAAGCTAATATAAAACATAAAAATATCGAACAGCATAAATGCAGAAATAAGAGAGGACAATCAAATATAAGAAGGTAAACAATTAAAAAAAAAAGTAGCCTCATTAACTATGGTGACCCTCCTGGATCTTAAAGAGATAAATATAGTAAAGAAATTTCAATAATATAGTATCCAAATCACATTAAGTATTTAAAATAATTTAAAAAATGTATAAAACCTTGGAACATCAACAGTCATTGATCCAGTCTCTCCTTCTTCTGAGTTGCAATCAATATCAAAAAGATGATATAAATCCTCACCAGAGTCAAATAAACCTGTAATAAAACACTAAATAGTTAATTTACTTATTATTATTTTTACTTATTATAACTATCATTATATTTATTATTTATTATTATTATTACTCATTATAACATTTTGTAAAAAATTATTATTATAACTTTTTTTTGTGAAAAAAATTGTTATTTATTAGTGCTAGACTGAAATAGGAAAATATTGTAACAGAAATAAACCAAAAATTTGGGTATACTAGTTTAATACCGAAACCAAAACCAATATTTCAGCAAAAATTTTACAGAATCTAAAACTTTGGTTAAACAAAATTAATTTTATTTGAAAATGATATCTAAAAATGCAATTTTATGTGTTGTTTATTTACATTTGTTGTTGACAACTTTTCTCCATCTAATATAGTAACAATTTAATAAATTGAAAATTTGGCTGAAACTGATAGTAAATCAGAATTTTGATTGATCACTAATGATGATGTAGTTTTTGCATTTTTAACACTGTTTTCGTTGTTTTGTTTTTGTGTGTCTCCCAATAAATACTAGATAAACTAAACAATAGGATTAGATACAGCCTTTTTAAAACAAATTTACTTCCGACAAGGCTGCAAGCAACTACTACATTTAAAAGTTGAAAGTAAAATAAAAAAAAGAGTTTAAAAGTAGAAGTGGTAGTGTAGTATGGAAGAGGTAATGCAGTTTGGAAGTGTTTAGTGTTGGTATTATATCGGGAAGATTGTGGTTAAAATTTCAATTATTTATTTTTATAATAATTAACATGTAAACATGTAAACATTTAATTAACATGTAAACATTTAATTAACTGTTAACATGTAAAAATGATTTAATTAACTGTTAACATGCAAACATGATTTAACTAACTGTTAACATGCAAACATGAAATTATTAACATTATTATTGCAATGTGCAATAATATTGCACATTGCAATAATAATGTTAATAATGCAAAAAATATATAGATTATATCAGCAATGTGCAATAATATTGCACATTGCAATAATTATTTTAAGAATGCAATAATTATAAAGATTATATCGACAATGTGAAATAAATATAGAAACAACAATCTGAGGAAAATCTTGATTTGAGAGGGAAATTTATTGTTAAGCCACCATATTGCTTTTGCTACAACTTTGAAACATTCCCTGTTATAACAATTACAATAGTTTTTTAACAAAAAGAAAAAAAAGAAAAAAAGGAAAAAAGAAAACAGCTTTGTTGGAATAAATACGTTTTTTTCATTTAGACTTATTTTTACTGAGTTTTTTTATGTTAAATATATTAGTTTTTTTATATTAAATATATAAGTTAAGCGTTTTCTTAATATCATAAAAAAATAAATCAATATGTTGTTTATTTTACTTTTTTTTTAACAATAAAAAGTTTACTTCACAATAAATTTTTAATGAATCTAAATTTATGATTTTTAATGAAAAGTACAAAAAAAAAATTATTTTTAATTCTAATTAAAACTGATTCTTTTACTGCTTTTTATATACTAATTTTTACTTTTTGTAATACTTTTTATAATTTTTACTTTTTATAATACTAATTTTTTCAGAAAAAATTTCAGTGACCGCTTTTTAAAATATTCCTAAAATATCGTGTGATGAAGAATAAAACTTATACAGTGATAAAGAATGAAACAAACATAACTTACCACATACTAATATAAAAAACTTATTAAGTCATAAAGAATGAAACTAACAAAAAGAATAAAAATATTATAAAAAACTAGTAGTTTTTTACATTTAAAATAGTTACTGCTTTTAAATTCACACTTATTAAATGTAATTTAAAATATATCATTAATATAACAAATACCTTTGCATGACTTAAAAAAGAGTTCATAAGATAAAGTTGATAGCATAGAGGATATTGATGTTTTAAACTCAGCCTTATAGATTTGAACTTGTAGACTTTCTTTGTGCACTGTCTTTCTCCACCATGTTCTTTTATCAATATCATTGTTTGACTGCAAATCAGGTATAGGAATTCTAAAATTATTAAAAAAAAAAAGGGTTTTAACGGAATATCATTTAAGTAAGAAACAAAAATTAGTGATAAATAGACAAAAAAACATGAGAAAGAGCCTCAAAAAACTAAGGAACGCCAGAAAGAGTAATAAATAAATGAAAAACATAGGAAAGAGTCTCACAAAAGTAAGGACATCAAAAAGAGTATTAAATAGACAAAAAAGATGAGCCTCAAGAAAATAAGGAACATTAAAAAAATTAGATTACAAGAAGCAAAAACATTCAAAAAAAAAAAAAAAAAAAAAAAAAAAGCTAGTAAATTATTACATATATATAAAAAAAGTAACTAATTCTAATTTCAAGCTATATATATATATATATATATATATATATATATATATATATATATATATATACATATATATGTTTTAATATCAGACTGTAGTTTATAAAAAAAATAAAAATTGATATGTTCTAGCTATATTTACCTTGCTTGAAAATTTTCTGCAATGTAAATTTAATACACTCTGGCATCTTACTCATGCAACTCACTTCAGTCTCCATAGAATAAACAAAATTTTATGACTACAAAAATTAAAAACCTTATTACAGCTGTTAGAAAGGGACATCTAATAGTTATATCTGTCTTCTTATCTGTTATAACAGGACTATCATCCATTGCTTGTCGAAAAGCAGTTTGCTGATTCTAAGAAAAAAGAAATTGTATAAATTTTCCTTTGAGATTTAAAAAAAAAAAATTTAATTTTTTATCAAAATTTTTTTTTGCCAACTATAACACCCAAAAAACCTAAAAAAAACAAAAAATAATATGAAGTAAAATAATATGAAAGTTTGATTAGTCCAAATAAAAATTTGTTTTTTTTTTTGTATGTTGTAATTTAAATGAATATAAAAGCTCTACATGTATATTGTGTTGTACAATCTTTCAAAAGAGTTTTCATTATTTTTTAGAAAAAATCTAAATAAGGAAAAAACAATACGTAGTGCATGAACAGAACAATACATGAACAAGGAATGCATGAATGTGACTGTGAGGTAATTGCAAAAAAACTCAACTTCGCCAAATTTCAGCTAAATGGTTAAGAAAAATAAAAAGTATTGTCATAACAAACACCATTAAGGGATAAGAAAAAAGCAATCCATGAACATGCCAAGGGTCAGATTATTAAGAAATAAAACTAATAAAATTAAAAATTCTCAATCAAAAATATTTTTAGCAATTAGTGTTTTATGGGAGTTGAATTGTAAAAAATGAATAAATAAAACAGAGAGAACTTTAAGGCTAAACCTTACAAGCATTAAATAGGAATAGAAAACCCTTAAAGCTTTTGTGGATCAAGGAGAGAAATCAACAAAAAACATTTATGGATACATTTTACAAGCTGTTGTTCTCCAATGGGCTAATCAACACATTAAAAATGGAAACTAAACAGTTCAAAAAAAAATTCTGTTCCTAAACATAGAGCTCAAGAATGGTAATTTATTTTTGAATGAGCGAAATATTTTCAGAAATGATCCTTTGGATCATAAATAAAAGCCAGAGTTCTGAACTCAAATTTTTTTTTTTTTTTGGAGGGAAGGAGGGGGGGGGGGGGGTGAAGGAGTAGGGGGGGGGGGGAGACTCATAGTTGAAAAATTAAAATGTTAAAAAACTAAAATAAAAGTAGATATATATTCCTTTTGATGCTATGGATCAAAATTCTTCATAAAATTTTTAAGGCATTAAAGCAGTAAATGTAACATTGTTAAGTCAATGTTAAGGCAGAAAAGGATCTGAACTTTGGTACACAACATTAAATTTTTAGAAGCAGTGTGTAGCAGCAGAAGGTCGTCATTTCAAATCCAATTATTTCAAATCTGATTATCTAATCATTTATAAATATGTTAACTACATTTATGAGCAATAATGTTTATCATAATATAACTCTTTGATGATTTTATAATCAAACAACCATACTCTTGGAAAAAAACAACTAAATAAACATATTATTAAGATTTAGATAAATTATGTAATAGAATGCATGAATATCATACCACAATCAAAGTAGAAGTTAAAATGTCAATGCAACCTGTTTAATACCTTAATCTAGAAATATTTTTCATATTGATATCTTAATTTTTTTTACAAAAAATTAAGATATCAATATGAAAAATATTTCTAGATTAAAGCAAGTGGAACGGAAAGGAAAAGAAAATCATCCAATCACGTAACATAGAAATTGTGCATCTAAAATTTTTTTGTTACATGATTGGATGATTTTTATTTCCTTTCCGTTCCACAGAAAATTTTCTGTAAGTAGAAATCCGCCTTTATTGATCTTTTTTGTAGCTAAAAACAACAATATCAAAATTTGTTAAAAAGTTGTTATATTTGTTTACTAACATCAAATTATTGAGCTTTAGTGTTTAAGATAAAAAAGAAAATGTATTAAGTTTTTAAACAATAAAAAAAAAGGTTTTCTGAAAATGACTAAAAAAAAAATAAAAAAGTCGTACAGCTGAATGTCCAGTTGCTAAAGAAGCATACATGAATGGAGCATTGTCATGTGAAGCATTGTTCATTTTATATAGTGGTGCTGGAGATATTAACGAAATTATCCTGTCTCTCATGCTTAAATCAATTTCTATGTTTAATTCACTAGCATCAACTTCAATGCTAAACTTTGGAGGAAACGAGTTACGAGACTGGACTCCCTAAAAACCAAACAAAAGAATAAAATATATAAAAAGTATTTAAAAAATAAAAAAACAATAAAAATATGAAAAAACTTATTTACCAATGTATTTGCTTTCACCACACTGTTTATTTTCAACTTAAAGCATGGAGACTGATTTCCAAGGAGAGAACCAGAGTATAAGGGGGGACCAGAATAAAGGGGGGAATCTTCTTGGTATTTAAAATGCAAAATCTAAATGAAATTATAAGATAAGTATACAAAATTATACATACACACACACACACGTATATATATAGGCCTCGGCAGGAGTAATTGAGCGGGAGAGTGGAGAAAAGCTCTCATAAAACAAACATTGCGAGCCATGCGAGCTGTTCCTCTAAACAGTTTCTTACAAGAGCTTTTAGTTTTTGCACAAGCTATTTGTTTATTCATTAAAGAAATTGCCTGTTAAATTTGGTTTTATACTTGTTACAAGCATATGTTTGTAATGTTAATGTTATAAGAATATATACATAACAAGCGTAACTTATTGCGCTGAAAATACATTAGCGATGTAAATTTTCCAGTAAAATTTGATTCAAAATTTACCAGTAAATTTTAAATAGAGAACGGTAAATTTTCCTTTAAAAAATTTAATAAAAAAAAAAAAAGTGAAAAGAAATTTTAAAATTTACCAGGGGGTAAATTTTCAAAATTTTCCGGTAAATTTTCTGGTAAATTTTACCTTCACAACACTAAAATACATAGTATCATTTATTATAAATACATGGTATCAGTTTTTTTCAGAAAATATTTTTATTTTTGTATTTTGAATTAAAAAAAAATACAATATCTACAATATCTGTTTCATATTATTTGATTAAATTTCAAGAGCAAATAAAAGCACACCAAGCTTTTTCAACAGCTAGCAATGTACTCTGTTTATCTTCTTCATTATTATCTTCTGTTTATCTTCCTCATTATTATCTTCTGTTTATCTTCCTCATTGTTATCTTCTGTTTATCTTCCTCATTGTTATCTTCTGTTTATCTTCCTCATTGTTATCTTCTGTTTATCTTCCTCATTGTTATCTTCTGTTTATCTTCCTCATTGTTATCTTCTGTTTATCTTCCTCATTGTTATCTTCTGTTTATCTTCCTCATTGTTATCTTCTGTTTATCTTCCTCATTGTTATCTTCTGTTTATCTTCCTCATTGTTATCTTCTGTTTATCTTCCTCATTGTTATCTTCTGTTTATCTTCCTCATTGTTATCTTCTGTTTATCTTCCTCATTGTTATCTTCTGTTTATCTTCCTCATTGTTGTATCAGTGAAAGGTTTGCTGCATCATTCCAACAGATCTTTCTGAATGATCTTTTAATTCTATAAAAAATTTGACATAATTCTGAAAGTTTTTAAAAACAGATTAAGTAAACCAATACTCAGGGGGAAACGAAAGCCAATCTTTTAGCCTTTGTTCCTCTAAGCCAATTCTATCAAATATAAGATATAAAAATTCATCAACCAATACAGCAAATGAAGAAGGATTTTCACTAATTTCGTTTCCCATTTTTGCTTTATTCTTTCTATTTTTGGTTTGTTTTTAGTATTGTACCAAGTTGAAATCGTCATTTTACAAGTTAGAATTACTTTTGCAAGGTTTTCTCCAAGGTTTTTTTAAGTTTGCTTTCTCCTCAAATGACAAATCATCCATTAGAACAAGAGGAATCGTTGTTGAAATACTAACTATATTTGTATAGAGAGTTTTAAAACTGCATTGACAGCATCTAATTTGGCACAAAGTATTTGGTACTGTTGCATTTGGTGTATTGCTTTTATATCAAGAAAGGGAGCTCTAATAGGGTCATTTGCCTGTAAATACCATTTGGTATAAAAGAAAATTGTAAATTCACTTATTAGCCTGATTTCCGTGATGAGTCTATTGTTCTGATTTACGAATCAGAACGATTTACGAATCATTACTCATTACGAATCATTAATCATTACGAATCATTAATCATTCGTAAATCATTCTGATTTACGAATCATTACGATTGGCTGGATAGAGGCTGTAGCTTTAGGTAGTAAAGTGCTTTGGACAGGAACCTAGCATAATGAACTGCTCCGGGTTTTCTTAGTGTTACTAAAGACGAAAAAGGTAACTCACAACAAGTTCTGCAAGCTCCTTTCTATCTTCTCTGATAAAATCTTTATTTTCTTTTCCCTTTGTAATGTTTTCTTGACAAACAGTTTTTAATTCTTCAAACATAGGATTATCTGGTCCTGTGAAATGTTCATCTAAAAATAATTTACAAAAATGAACCATTCTTAATTTACATACATGATGTCTGCATGTAATAAGTAAAGATATTTGCCTATAATTTGGATATTTTTATTAAAAAACATTTCTTTAACCCAGTGTTATTTGCAGTAGCATCAAAACATATTTGACTTTGACAAGGTTGTACTCCATAAGAAGGTACATTACATCATTGCACTGATCTTCGCAAGAGGATGATGCTAAAGGAGGTACTCCAAGCAGGTGTGTCTCACTTTCAATTTTTACAAGTACAGCCAGTCTATCAGTTTTAATTGTTTTTCCTTTGTTTCAATTAATGTTTTGCCATCAAAACACACTATGCATGGGTATGGAGATTTATTCATTGCTTATTGAACATCTTCTTTTGATATCATGCATATATTATGATTGGCATATTTCATACTCCTAGCTGCAGCATGACTGACTGCATTTGAAATCTGTCAGATCAGCTCCTGGTTGAGTTAGAATTGCACCTGTAACTTTATGCAAAACACTTGGAGAAACATCACTGATTGTAGCCATAAGAGGTACATTACCAAAGAAAACATCTATGGAAATTTCAGCAGTGACTTTTTGTTAAAAAGGTTTTCTATAAAACCACTCTCCAGGATTAAAATCAGAATCACGTGAGGAGTCCTCACTAGTATCTGTACCAATCTCAACATTAATTGTACCCTCTAATTCTTTATATTGTTTCACACGCTGCTTTCTTTTTTTGCTACTCACTGTTGCCTAAAAATGTTAAAATAATTTAATTCAATTATATGAGAAATTGAAATAGTGAGTGAACATTGTTATTTTTTTTTTTCAGCTGTTTTTATCTTAAATCTTTCTAAGTAGGGGGGAGGTCTATAATCGTCTTTTTTTAAATTTTTTATAGTTTAACCAATTTTTCTTAATTAGTTTTTCATGCTGATTCTGAAAATCATAATCATTTTTTTTCATTTTAATTATTTAGCCTTCTACTTCAACTTTAATAAAAGTGAATATATTGACAAAAAAAGGCATTGTTAAAAATAGATGAAACTATTATTATCATTAAATATAAGAAAAGTAGAAATTTTTTTCTGTTTAATTTAACAATAATATACCTTATCATTTATAAGTAACAAAAAAAATTATACATTATATATAAAAATAATTCATACAGTTTGTTATTTACTATTGAAAATGGAAAATATGTGATAGAGATTGCTGCGTGAACTTTCCTTATAGAACATCTAGGTTATATGCGTGTTCTTTGGTAGACATAAGATGGAGGTTTGTATTTTTATATCAACAATCATGTCTTTAAACAGAATAGACCTCCGCAACAATCCAAAAAGTTGAAGCTATTCCATAGTTTCAACTTTTTAGACAAATAACTGGACAATAATTCTCCAAAATATTTTTAAACTGTGATAACCTTCATTTTTTATATGGTTTAAATAATTAAGTATACATTTACTGTTGAAATTAAATGGGTTTTTTCCAAAGCTTTCCAACTGCAACAACTTAACTAGAAAGTTAATACTAATCATATTCCATCATCAACCAAACACATAATACTTTTCCTTTTTTTGAAGTCCTGAGGCTAACTTTTGCCAAAATACTCTAGCAAGAATGATACAATCATTCAACCTCTTTGAGGTATACTTATTAACTGCTTCTAAAATTTTTTTTAACTAGCTATTCACTTCGTTTTAGAGTAAAGTAGAAAATTTCAAAATTTGATCACCCAGTTTGTTTTTTATAAAGCCTTTTAGGTAGCGGTGTTCCTTTAGCTTGTTTATCTTTAGAATTGTTAAAACTTTAGAATTCAACTGAACTTCTACTGACTGGCACTTTAAAAGAAGATTTATTCTTGACTTCATTAAAGAAAAGTGAAAAAAAAAAAGAAACCTTGAATAGCCTTCTTGATAGCTTGAATAACGATTAAAAATAAATAAAAAAAAGGAAATTAAGATATTTTGAAGCAATCTGTCTTTTTGATTACTTAAAATATTTTGTTTAGAAAGAGATTTCAGATAAAACTTTTTTTTTGAAGCAATCTGTTGTTTACTTATTTAAAACGTTTTTTTAGAAAAAGACTTCAGATAAAACTTATTTTTTCTAAAACGCAATCAAATTTATCCAATCAAAATTTGAATAGCATAAATTTGAAAGAAAAGTTCCGTAACTTTATACGCAAAGAAACTTTTGCAAAGACTTTTTTTTATATCTTTAAATTTTTAAAATAGAACTAGAAGGTCAACCATAAAAAATTACCAAAAACTGATTTGTTTTTTAAACTTTTCTCAAAAAATTATTTAAGAATAACTGGTTAAACAAGAAATATAGAACTTTGCCCCCTCCCCTCCCCCCTATTCTAAGCGGCTTGTAAATTGTAAGTAAGTTGCTTAGAAAGCCTTTCAAAAAAATTTTTTTTTTTTTGTTTCAAAGAAATACACACTTTTTTTGTACTTTTTATTTTCTGATCTAAGCATAAATCTTCTTGGTCCTCCAAAAACTCCAAATCTTCAAGCTTGTATGAATCAGATCTTTTTTTGTCATTTTTAACTGTATTTCTAAGATCAGGGATGCCAGCCCAAAATATTTTGTTCAGGTAAATTTTAAACCCTTTTTGCTGTGCCAAAGCTGCAGCAGATCCCCTTTTTTCATGTTTCTTGAGTTTTGAATATACATTTTTCAGATTTAAAAGATTTTCAGAAGACTTTGATTGTTTAGTCTAGAAAATCCAGCTTTAATCCATGACTCTTTTACCTCAGCCAAAATACATTCACACTTTCTATTGTACATCTTTGAAATTTGTTTTTAGGAGGAAAAGCAAAAATAGTGGCTTTTTTTGATGTTCTTGGCAAAAATAATTGTTTGTAAGCTAAGTGCTGCAGTATCTCCATCTCTGTTGGAATCTGACAGCCTTAATTAGAAAAAAGAAAAAAGAAAAAGTTGATCTAAAGATTTTAGCTTAAGGTATTCATTATAAAACTAATTATTACCTTTTATTGTTGGTTTTGCTTCTTCGATAATGAATAGTTTTTTTTTAGACCTTAGTGTTCCTTCACTTTCTGTTTTTTGATCACATTCTTTTTCTTTACACATATTTAAATTAATTTAATTTTTACTAAATTAAAAGATCAAATTTAAAATAATTATTGTAAATAAATTCAATCTTTTGTTAGCAACATAAATGTGGTAAATATAATTATATATATTGTAATTTTTTTAATTCAAAATACAAAAAAAAAATATATATTTTTTTAAAAACTATGATGCCATGTATTTTTACTCAAATAAATAGGTTAAAATAAACAACCCAAAAAAAAAAATTCAAGTTTTAGTAATTAAACTTCCCCCTGGACCTGTAAAATCATTGATTTTTGAAAGTTTTTGAGAATTTTTTTTTTCTAAAAAAGTGCTTTGGGGGTAGAGATTGAGTAGTCCTATTGAGCTCAAATTCTTTGGGAGTTGTTTTTTTTTAACATTTGCCTCAAATCTAGAGTGTATAGTAATTTAGATTTGAAAATTTCCTCTAATTGACTACCCCTAAAATGACTAATATATATATATATATATATATATATATATATATATATATATATATATATATATATATATATATATATATATACATATATATATATATATATATACATATATATACATATATATATATATATTTAATTTATAATTTTGACGGTTTTATGGAACTGAGTTATGCACTCAAAATGTTTGTCATGTTATTCCGTTAGTCTAGTGAAGTTGTAGTTTCTTTCCTTTACTTTTTAATAAAATAGTTTCAATTTAATATTGTACATTTTTTTAGATTTAAAATTTCATCCTGTAACTGACAACACTTTTTTTTTTTTTCTATGCAATTTGACAATGGCTGTTTTGACATTTTAACAATTTATATGCAATTAAAAAATTTGTTACGTTATGAATAACTTATAATCATAATAACTTGTAATCTTTTTTAAAGTTTTTATTAAACGCTTTAAATAAAATAAAATCAAAAATTAATTATAATGATTGTTTAAAAATAAACGCATTATGTGTAAATAAAATGTTATATTTAAATTTTTCTATTTATTAGGAATGTATTTTTTATGATAAATTTAAACGTTTGAAACTTATTTTCCATGTCGTTCTCTTATATACATCTCTTATAAGTTAAATCTCTTAAATTACTTTAAATTGAAACTTTAAAATAAGTAAAAATCTATTAAATTATAAATAAACTAAACCTTCACATGTTCTGAAACGTTTAAATCAGCAAAACATCTAAACAGTTGTGGTTAATTTGAAAACAAAAAAAAATCATTTGCGTGGTCAGCAAAAGCTTTCGATCGCGCTCTACTCATGTCCAAACTTTATTTTAAAGAATTTAATTCCTGCCAGTCAAATTGTCCGATTACTTTGTGAATTGAGCAGACAATCAGAGGTTTCAGCCAGACAATGTCCGATGTCCGACCGTTAAATTGAGCCCTGATATTATATATATATATATACATATATATATATATACATATGTGCGTGTGTGTGTGTGTGTGTGTGTGTGTGTGTGTGTGTGTGTGTGTGTGTGTGTGTGTGTGTGTGTCTATATATATATATATATATATATATATATATATATATATATATATATATATATATATATATATATATATATATATATATATATATATATAAAATTTTGTTAAGTGATTTTCTACTACTTTATAATTGCTGTTCTTATAAAAACATTGGGCATTCCATTTTGTAGAATATATTTTAAATTTGTTTATATATATATATATATATATATATATATATATATATATATATATATATATATATATATATATATATATATATATATATATATATATATATATATATATATATATATATATATATATATATATTATGCCTTGCTTTTTAATAAGACTTTTAAAAAAAAAACTAACTTTACTCTGACTGTATGGCTTTACAAAACGGTTATTTTTATTATCATTTCCATAAAGATTTTCATCAACTGCAATTTTGCCAATAACTATGTTTGTTGAAGAGGAAGTGGAACCTATAACTGTTTTATACTCAGAGTCTGAGTAAACTGCAGATGCCAAAAACCTGAAAATAAATAAAGTATAACAATTATATATAGTACCTCAGTTAAAAAAAATTTTCTTAACACAAAGCAACTTTTCAGAAAACAATTTGCGACATTAGCAATCAACTTTTTAACGATTACATATTTAAAAACTTTTAACACTTTAATCAAATAAAAATGTTAATACAAAATAAAATATATGCAAAATGTAAATTTTATATATTTTTTATTTAACTAAATATATAAATATATGATAAATAGTTGAATGTATAACACATTGTCTATTAAATTATAAATTTACATTATAAAAGCTTACATGCTATAAATTGTACATGCATATACTAATGAGTTAGGGACACTGGTAACTAAGAGCATAAAAATCAATGGGTGGGTTTTGGGGGAAAAAAGTACAATTCTATTTATGCTTTTTACACTTGAGTTACACTTTGAAATAATGGAAACTAAAGGCAAGTTTTTAGTTTCATTTTTTCATCTAACTATTAACTACTTCAAGTAACTACTTCAGTTACTTTTTTTATTATTACCAAAATTAATAATTAATTTTTGAAAAAGGAACATAATAGTTAATGTTGATATTTACTAATAAATTTACTAATAGTTTTTAGTAAATATCAACATGGGGTGCTAAGTGCTGAACAGTTTTGGCAGTTAGAACACAATAAGTTTAGTGTTGAGTCATACTCAACACCATACTCTTTATGAGCCATACTCAACACCAAACTTATTGTGTTTTATCCTTTTGTGTCTATGAATGAATCAAAAAACTAATGACTGTATTCATCAACCCCAAAGATTTGTTTTCTACAAGCATATTTAGAGGTTAGTGATTCTATAAATTCTTGTGCACACCCAATCAAAACTGAGTAGTAAAATATAGGTCTGTGTAATTGTGCAGTAATTTTAATACCGTGGCACATGTTTATAAACTAAGCTATAATTATAATAGCAGCTGCAATTTTTAAAAATAATTAATAATATTAACTTTTCAACAAAAGAAATATATAACTGATTATATTTATAATTATACAAAAGCCTTCCCAGAAGACGCGTGTGGTTTATCATATTGTTTGTCCATAAAAATGTTTTTAATTTAGACAACTTGTTCACGGCTGTTTGCAAGTTTTACTATATTTCAATTCTTTGCTAAAAAAACTAAGTTTCAAAAATAAAGAAAGCAAAACTAATTAAATAGCAAATTAAATAAAATTTTAATAGAAAAAAAAATGAAAAAAATTAATAATTTAAATAATTTGAGTTACATTAACCACATTTATATATTTTTATGTTACACAGGTGATTATCAGTTCTCAATTTTTTATCTAGAGTTTAGAACATATATAGTACCACATTTATTAGACATTTGTATGGTGCGATTATTTTAGTTATGAATACCATTATAAAGCAGCGGATTTTTATTTTTGCTTTTTTAGGGTGGTTGTTATTAAATTTAATATTTCAAATGATTTTTTTTTGCAATACATATACTTATTACATTATCATTTGGAACCGTAATCAAAAACCAGTTACTTAAGTGGAACACATTCAGTTGTAGGAGCCTCAGGGAAGAAGGTGAAAAGATTATATTAAAGTTAGCTAAAATATATTAAAAGTTGTTAAACAGATGTCCAGTATAAAAACACAAAATTCAAAAAAAGATTTATTATTGATAACTTTTTTGGTATATTTCACCAATAACATAGTAGACAAAAAGGTAGGGGGAAGTAGAACTAAGCCCACTGAACCAAATGTTAAAAATCAACAGGTATCCAAAATTACAAAATGCTAAAAGATTGTGGATAAAAAACATACAGAAACAAAAAGACAATATGAAACAATTAAGGCTATGTGAAAAATGTGGAAAAAAAAGATAAATGGTTACAAAGCAAATATATGAGCAGCAAGATTTAAAAGGAAAACAATGAAAAAATAGACAGTGGTGGGATTCAAACCACGGCCATTTCGAGTGATAATTAATTTTATTTTAATTTCTTATTTTGTTAGATTTGCTTTCTTTCTTTTTGAAACTTTTTTCCACAAAGTATTGAAATGCCTTATATAATAAAACATGCAAATAGCTGTGACCAAGTTGTCTAAATAAAAATTTTGAGTATGGACAAATGAGATGAAAAATCGCATGCATCTCCTTGGAATGCTTGATACCTATTTATTTAAAATCTTTTGACATTAACTTTTAATTAAACTTTTCACTTAAATATGCAAGTTGTTTAAAAATGGCTGTAAAATCATAGTTACCTTAAATGATCTTACAATTATAGTTACCTTAAATGATCTTACAATCATAGTTACCATAAATGATCTTACAATCATAGTTACCTTTAATGATCTTACAATCATAGTTACCTTAAATGATCTGAACAACAGATAGTTAATAAACTTTCACGAATTTGTTCAGCATTTAAACCAAATAGGCTCTGCATAGAATATTGCTGGACTTGAGAGAAAAATTTGTCAACCATTTCTGTTAAACTATTACTTCCACCATGTTGTGGATATGTGAGAGGATCTTGGTGTAGAAGGATAAATATGATATTATTAGATCTAAGTTTAATGTGCGTGACATCAACAGAATCATCTAATAAACTGATTCCAGCTAGCCCAACATTTGAAGATGAATGGAAACCAGAACATTTTGGTGCTAAAAAAAGTAAATTTAAACATGTTATGATTCAGCCAATAGTGTCATGATGTTCCAGCTAATTTTAATTCAAATTTTTCTTTTTCACAAAAATTTCTCTGTTAAATAAGATTACATAATGGTGGAGTTTATCTTATCCCTTATTAATATATCACAGACAAAAAACTTTTTGTGGTTGCATACAAACTAGGGTGTGTCAATTTCAGACTTTTTTTTTAAAAAATGGTTTGATAAAATTTGGGATATAAGGAAAAGTTGTGGAATTTTGAGAATCCAAATCTGATTTAATTTTTTAAATAAGAAAAATATTTACTCAGGTGATTAGTCTTTTTTATGAAAGTATACTTGGTTTTTGTTTTCTTTTAAATGGAATAACAACGTTACTGGACAATATTGTCCATAAAACAAATAGATTTTTGAAAAACAAAACAAAATTATATTTAGTTTATAAAAAATTTAACAAAATATGTATAAAATCTTTAAACAAATTTTGTAAAAAAAAAGATTTACTAAAACATATTTTTTTTTATCTTAATGGTGGTCAGTAAATTGTTTTTTTTTATTGTGCAATAAGTAAGCAACTTTTAACTGTATGTTGTTAAGTATAAATTTAAGAACTTTCGATTGCTTTCATTCTTATAATATTGAAACTTTTTTTTTTATTCCTAATCAATAAAAACGTTTTTAAGTTTTTTACAATATTTTTAATTTGGAGGAATAATGGCACCTAAAATCAATATAAGTACTATTACACTTAGTTAATAATGATTTTCTATTTAAAATATGTAAATTCTTCTCACATAAATGTAAGATGCACGTGCTACAGCTGCAATTGTTACAGCAACACTTATTGATGCAGGATTAATAACATCTGATGATAAAAAGTTAGTTATCAACCATAGTAAAGTTTCTTGAGCGAAAGAATTTTTGTTGAATGGTTGACTGAGAGAAGTATTTACTAATCTTTATGAGTTGTTGGTGGAGACTCTACAAATGTAAACACTGGGTGGTAAGGTGGAGTCAAACATATAGAAATAAAATTAGAGAAAAAACTTGTTTGGCTCATGAGTTGCCACTGAGGCATCTTGTAACCAACTTAGATAGCCAAACCAAATCTAACAATAAATGGTCTGGTGTTATTGGGTCCATGCTTGATCTGGGTAAAGATTTAGATGTAAATAAAGTATTTAAAACAATCAAAATTAGTAACACACTGATAAAATGACAAAATAATATATGACTTGAATGCAGATCAACTTTATAGTTATAAAGTTGTTTGTGCTAAACTTTCGTTTATTACAAGTTGGGCCTATTCACATTCAAGATGGTTAACTACTGCTAACAGAATATGTAGAATATGGATCTCTAAACATGGAATTCAACGTAAAGATTAAGAAAATTTAAGGTCTATCAACGAGTACAATATGGGTGTTTATTTTTCTTGTTGGTTTAAGGTCAAAGTTGAACATTCTTGAATTGAAGGTCCTAAACATGTAATTTACCAGCCGCAGCAACTCAAATTTAAAAAAAAAGTCCTTAAAATAGTATCACCTTCTATTCAAAGATCAGCTTGGCTTGTTTTTAGTGAGTATATATTACAAACATTTTTGTGTTATAATACTGAAGAGGATAGAAGTGTAGCTATTAATAAGATAAAAAATATTAGAGGTATTGGAAACGAAGATTTACAAAAAGGTGATTCTTCTTCTAGACCAAGAAAAACTCCTGTTCTGAACTTTTATGCTGAAAAATTGGTAGACTTGAAATTTATTTTACTGGTTTATGAACCATTTTTACTGGTTTATAAACCAGTCTTAACTACCTCTCTAACAACTTCTGAAATCAATGTGCTTTTATCAGATTCTATGCAGGTGCAGATTTCACCATGTCATAGACAATCTGTTGAACATTGCATAAAACAAGTTACAGAAGCTTCAAGTAGAGTGTACACTCATGAAAGGAGAGCAGGATTTGTCCAAATTCAAGAGCCAAGTAGAAAGTTAATGCCTAAAAACAATAGTAAACAATTCCTTAAAAGTTTGACAGAAATGTTTTGGTATTAAATTTATAATATTTATTGAAACAATTTGGTTTTTTAGAAAAATATCTTGCTGTATTTCTTCAATACCATTAAAATGATGTATTTAAAATATGTTGATAAATATTTTAATATTTATAAAATTTATAAATGAACCTCAATCTAATTTTAGTATTAAACTGACATGCATATTAAAATTTAAATTCAAACTCTAATTTTAAAATAAAAATTATCCTTTTATTTTTATATAAGTTCTTAAAGAAAATATATTCATATTTTTAATCAACATTTTAATCAACATTTATATCGCAATTGATATTTATCAAATAAAGTAAAAAAAGCTTATTAATGTTTAAATATATAAATAAAATTAAATATATACATAATAAATAAAACCCAGTCAAATCACTTAAGCAAAAAAAATTTTAATTCAAATTTCAAAGCCATATTTGGACTCCCCATAAAATTTTGCAATTTTAGTAATTTCCCAATTTTTATTCTTAAAAAAAAATCCAAAACCGACACACCCTAATATAAACATTAAATCACTTTTTTTTTAACAAAAATAGGCAAAAAAAAAAAAAAAAAAAACTTAATGAATAAAAAACACAATTTATAAATTAAAAACTAATTTATTCTTTAATGAAAAATAAAAGTGTATATAAATCAAAAAGACTTTCAAATCTCACTTTCACCTGCTTTACTTACAAAGCTATTTAAACTGAAATTAAAAACAAAAAATTTTTTTTAACTATAAATGTTAATTATTTACAAAATGTATACAATTTTCATAAGTTATGTCTGACTAAGTCTTTTACAAAATGTTTTTCATAAGTTTGACTAAGTTATTTTTAATAAGATTTACTGTATATATTATGTTTAAAAGTTTAGAATTAAGTGTAGTACTGTAAAATGACGTGATTTTGGACTGGCAGCTAAATTATAAAAAAAAAATTTTAACAAACAACTTTGTTTGCATGTATTTCCAAATTTGTTTATCATAAAAGTTTTAAAGTCATAAAGTTTTTCTTATAATTATTAAAATTGGTTGCAGTTGGTTGCAGTTTGAGAAACTATAGAAAGGAACTACAGAATTATTTTTTATTGAAAGCTAGAAAAATCATACAAAATTAAGCCACACAAAATTATTAATTGGTTATAACTGCTGTTGTTATTTTAATGGGTTGTTATGTTACAACTGCTGCTGTTATTTTAATGGGTTGTTATGTTACAACTGCTGTTGTTATTTTAATGGGTTGTTATGTTATAACTTATAGTAAATTTAAACAGGAGAGATATGATAGTTGTCCAACTCATTTAACTTCTAATTAAAAATTATTTCAAGTAAACTTGAAATAATTTTTAATTAGAATATGGACCAATTATATCTAGATCTTGGAGAGACTTTGGCTAAGCTAAAAATTTTACCTGACTTTTAGAGACTATCTTTTGGGATTTTAATGAGTTATTAATGTTGTATTTTTGATGTTTCATAAAATGATGGTTATAATATAATTGATTTGGTTTTCTATTTTTATTTTCACAATAATGTAACTTATACTAAAAGCATTAATAGGATGCCAAGAACATATAAACATGTTATTGGTAGCCAAGGCAATATTTCATATAACCAGGAAACATTACCCAAATGCTTAAATGAAGTAAGAAGTGGAAAATTAACACAATTTTTTTTTAACATCTTTGATTCCAACAAGGCTGCAAGCAACCACTATTAGAGTTGGAAGTTACTAGAAAAGAAAAGATGAAGATTATAGAGCAAGATAATGATTGACAGATGACTTGAAAGATTGCATTTTAAATGAATCAGAAAAGCAAGATGAAGGAAGCGAATTCCAAAGAAATGATGTTAGAGGAAAAAAACTAAAGGAATAAGAGTTTTTGGAGCACTTAGGAACATTCACAGAAAAAGGATGAGTCTTAATTGACAAGTATGAACTTTAGTATGAACTTTGTATGAGTCTTAATTGACAAGTATGAACTTTAGTATGAACTATGAGTATGAACTTTAGTAGATGGCACAAGAGACACTAGCTCTTTAGAGCAGTGCCCATTATAGTATTTGCAGAAATAAGAAAGAGAAGCAACATTATGACGATGTGATAATGGTTGGAGGATGGCTGCAAGAGCAGGTCAAACTATGTTTAGAGACTTTTAGGTTTCCAACTTGAACCAGTTGAAATAATAATGGTTAGGTAACTTGCAGGAAATATGCCTGAAAATGAATGGGTAAAATCATTAAAAAAGAGAATAAAGACTTAAATATTAGATTTGCAAGTAATATTAAAAGAAAAAAGAAGGGCAGAAATTTTAACTTTTTTGATAAAATCTCTCCTGATTTGGAGAGGGCCTTATTTAATTATTTGGAATTTTGATGAAACTAATTTAATATTTCTGTTAATAAATAAATGATAACAAAACAAAGATCTAAATATTCTCAGAAAATAATTAATTCAACAAAGTCATCTACATACTTGTCTGAACTAAACAATATCAATTTTATTGCTTTTTCTCCAAACTCTACACATTTGACGCAGCCATTAAATTTCCATATATTAAACCAAAAAAAGATCAACAGAGAAAAATATTAGTAATATACAAAAATTAAGTCTTTATATGGCAATGTAAAGACATTAATTGTTTTTATGCAACCATGTGAAGACAGTTGATTTCCACCTTGAAAATTAAAGAAAGATTAAGATCAAGCTTTTTGTCAGTTGTTAACAAGACCAAAAGTAGCAAGACTAAGGTCAAGGCCAAGACCAAGGCCAGAAGTTACGAGGCCAAGGCCACGAGTTTTAAGGTCAAGACCAAGATTAAGAGTTTCAAGGCCAAGACCTATGCAAACATTTTCAAGACCAAAAACTTCAACTTTTGCCTTACGTTAAGGCCAATTATTAACAAAACTGTAAGTAGCAAGTACTGTGACAATAAAACCACATTTTGTAAAAATAGACCAAGGTTATGAGCAGAATTCAACGAAATCAATAAGAAAATTTTTTTTTTTATAGCCAAGGCCAAAATTTTCAAGTCCAAGGCCAACAATTTCAAGGCCAAGGCCTAAATTTGGCCAGGGCCAAAGACTAACAACACTTATTTTTGTTAACTGATTTTTATAGTTTATTTCTTTAGCATTGTCCACACCTAATTCAACATAAATAAAACATTCATGATTATATTTTTAAAGAGGAATAAAGTCTCCTTGTTTTATAGCACTTCTTTTTGTTTAAATACAGTGATTTATAAAAATATTTTTAATAGTATAAACTAGTTTTTTGTCAGTAAAAAGTTCATTAGTATGTTACTTTTTAAATTACTTTAATTTTTATCAACTTATTAACTACGTTATATCAACGCCTTACAAGAAAGAAAGAAAAAGTACAATGACAATACTTGGTCTTAGAACAGTTTCAGCTTATACCTGTTTAATAAAGATGACCAATTTGGTCTTGAAAAAGGTTTTAGCTAAGATCTGGTTAATGATGCTGACGAGTTTAGTCTTAAAACACTTTAAGTTTAGACCTGGTTATGATGATGATCATCTTAGTTTTAAAACATTAAAAATTTAGACTTGGTTAATGATGATGACAAGTTTAGTTTTAAAGCACTTTATGTTTAAAGCTTTCTAGTGGTTATGAACAGTTTATTTTATAAGAGTTTAGTTAATAAGAATATTTAAATAATTTTAGATGTTTCTTCTGAGATTTAAAAGCAATAATAAATTTGTCTAATAAAAGTAAGTGTGGCGAAATTAATGAAATAGAAAAAATTATGACAAATTAGCTTCAATAAATAACAAGATTGTTCTTTCTATAAAAATTTAAAAGCAATTTATACAAAAAACATAACTATATAAATTGACATATTTAACTTAACTTTAAAATTAACTTATATAAGAACTTAACTTAAGCTAAATAAGAAGTTTATGTTTATAAACTTTCATTTTTGAAAAAATCTTAAAAGCAATAAACTTAACAGTCATAATCTTTAAAAAATATGAAAATAATAAAAAATGACAAGAAAAATAAAAACAAAAAAAAACTGTAAAAAGCAATAAAAAATAAAAATAGAAATATTTTTTTACATATAAGTGGCAACTTTTGACCTGATATGTCACACTGTTGGGCTTTTGATTAACATTAATTAACAAAAATGTTTTATTTAAAAATCTGACTGATTACAAAACTGATTACATTACAATAACTTCTCACAGATATTTTAAAAAGACTTTAACAAATATCTAGAAAGTAGATATAACTAACATTTTAATTTAAGAGACAACCTTTTTTTCACAATAAAGAAAATTTAAAAAACTTTGGCATTAACGCAATAAACTTTCTACTTACAGGGTGAAGAAGAACTGCCACTTGTAGCACGAAATAAAGAACTGGCTTGCTCTGTCAGAGTTCCTAAAAAGAACAAATAAAATGAATTTGAAAAATTGAAATTAAGGACAGCTCCAATATGCACAAGTATGGTATATAACATCTATTTCCCCTTAAAATAATATAAAAATGTGTGTGTGTATATATATATATATATATATATATATATATATATATATATATATATATATATATATATATATATATATATATATATATATATATATATATATATATATATATATATATACATATATATATATATATATATATATATATATATATATATATATATATATATATATATATATATATATATATATATATATATATATATATCATTTTATTATTTTCTTTATTTAGACATTTGTCAATAAATATTAAAACAAACATCAAAGTTCATTTTGAAAAAAAAAAAAATTGTTAAGCCTTGTATTAGTACTTATTTTGTAAAGTAGTCACAACATTTTCAATGTCTACTATAATCTTTCTATATTGTCTAAATTCCTATTAAGTTTTTTCTATATTCTTTTTAATAGTTGAATGGCTAGCTACTTTTCGTTAGCTACTTTTAGCTTACTTTTTAGTTACTTAGCAGGTAGAACTTTAATTAATCAATTAAAGGTTAGTTAACTAAAAATAAAACTATTACAAGAATTAGCCAAGTCATTAAAAAAATGTAATTATATATTAAAATTCACTACATTAGTCAGCACTAATAAATCAATTTTAATTTCTAATAAAATGTTTATACCTTAATCTAAAAAATAAGCAAGAAAATTAAGCAAGAAAATTAAGCGAGAAAACACTATCAACAACATTGACCTTACAGTGAGCTTTAATTAAACTGAATTTTTTTTTTTTTACACTTATTTATTTAGGATTGTTAACAATAAATAAATGTTGAAAAAATGAAAAATATTCTAAAGAATAAAACCTTTTGATGAGCTACTAAAACCGCCCAAGCTCACATTACTTAAACGAGAAGATGTACTATCAAATCTGTTATAAAATGGGCTTTGCTTTAATGGGTCAATGAGACTTGGTTGTCCAAGCGCTGGTAAAGGGTACTCTGTCATTGAAAAGAACTCTTCCTCACTAAGTGTAGAGTTATGAGACAAGGAACTCAGATTTATTGATGGTTTAAATTGCTCTACTTTATTCTTCAGGCTGAAATCCATACTTCCAACCTGATGTTGCAATGACTCTTCAACTTTCAAGTAGTCTGCTGATTTCATTGTTCGCATTTTATTTCGCCGTGTATTGTGATCTTGATAAAGATCTGAACGTGATGTATCTAAAATGTTATTTATTTTAAATCATTGTTTATCTAATATAAAAAAATTACCTAAAATTTTTTTTAGGTATTCAATTATTGCATATTATTATAATATTATCATTATTATGTATTATACTTTATATTATATTTTTATACAAATTTTATTTATTTGTTACTTTATTATCATTACTATTATTATAGAATACATTATTACTTCAAGTAATTTTAAAATACCAAGAGTTTCTGGCATCCTCGAAAGAGCGTTTACTAACAAATGAAGTTGTCTTGGTGAAAGAAACACATTCAAGGCAGCTAAGGAATATTCAATATCTACCTATAATGAATTTAACAAAAGCATTTATTGAATTATTAGTAAAAAGAATCAACAAGTTATATGATTTTTATCATATAAATATCATACAAGCATGATATTTATCATATAAAAAAGGATTTGCATAAATTTATTTTATCAATAAGTAAATTAAAAGTAAAGTAAAATAGAGTAACAAGTTAAATGCATGAATATTTTATATTTACATTATTATATAATTTTATTTTTCTAATCTCTATTTGCCTCAATCACCCCAGTTTATATAGAGCAATTCATTTTAATGAGCTATTAAATATAAAGACATTTTGATGAACAATTTGCATAGAACCAAACTCACCCCTAAACATGTCAATGCTAAAACAGAATTAAAGTTCACAACTTCCTTATTTATTATTAAAATTCCAATTCGAAATAACAAAGAGAAAGTTTACTTTTAATCACTTTTACTAAAACTTCATTTGAACTAAAAGTATTAAGAATTATCATAATGTAAAAACAGATGGTTTTAAAGAGAACATTCTCTATAAAAACATGCAAACAATTTTTTTTTTTTTTTTTAATGAAATAATTGGGAAACAAAAGACTTTTTAAAGTTTATCACTCCTAAAAAATCATAATTTACTAATTTAACACTTTCTAAATTTTAAATAATTAACTAGTTTTAATGGATTTTAATGTATAATAGAGTTTATTATTTTATTTATATTAGTAATATTTCAATCAAGTTGCCCATAAAAACTAATATAACAACATATGTAACTTAATTTATTTTTCTTTTGCCCTTGGATTATCAGTGTGTTTTCCTAACTAATTTTAAAACTGATTTTACCAAAAATAAATAGGGAATAGCTATTTTTCTACAAAAACTTTGCTGTTAAGAGCAAGGCAAAGATATTTTGAAATTTGTGTGAAAAAGTATTCATATTGAATTCTGAGCGTGCTTCTAGAATATTTCTAAATTCTGAGTGTGCTTCTAGAATATTTCTGAATTCTGAGTATGCTTCTAGAATATTTCTGAATTCTGAGCATGCTTCTAGAATGTTTCTGAATTCTGAGCATGCTTCTAGATTATTTCTGAATTCTGAGCATGCTTCTAGAATGTTTCTGAAGTTCTTGTTTCATATTGAATTCTGAGCTTCTAGAAAGTTCCTAAATTGATAAAACTGTCCAAAAGGTTTCAGAACTTTCCAGAAGGCTCAAGAAACTTTAAAACTTCCAAGAAACTTTCATTAGTACCATAAAACAATCTTGAAGTGTTTAAAAAAAGTCATACAAGTATAAAAGTACAAGTAATTTAGACAAACATTTCAGCATGTGCGATTGGTGAATAAAGGATGAATGAAACACAATGAAAAGCGATTATTTAATTTAAATGCCATCAAGACAATGCTTGCATCCAGCATACACATTTTGCTATGTATGTGATCAATTTTAAAGACAAAGTTAAGTAAATATTTCATGGAAGCAAGTCATTAAATGTGTGAGGTCTAAAAGACTAGTTCAAAATACCTGTCAAAGATCAGGACAAGCTCTTGGCACTGTATTTCACATGTGAATATTGCAAAAAACTTTTAAAGGCTGAATAATTTTGTTTCAATAATTTAAATTTACGTAGTTCATTTTAAAAAGTTGCAACTGACAAAGTGCAAATGAAAAAGTTGCAACTGATAAAGTTTCCATATTTATGTATTGACAGACCATTCAAACACTGCTACTTGTGCATAGTGAATTTAACAAAACATCACTCAGCACCTTTAATGATTTATCTAGGCATTCCTTTGTCTATTGCCCTCATATTGTGCAGCTAGATCCCAATTCCCTATGAAGAATTAGTCATTTTCAGAAGAAACCAGCGAGTCCAACAGTGAGGAAGATACTATGGATACAAACTACAGCTTTGGAGATGCAGTTAAGGATAGGAGTCAAAACTTTCCTAACCAAAAAGATGTCAACAATTTGATCAGAGACTTAGGTCTTACAAAATTGAATGCTGAGTTTTTGATATCAAGGCTCAAACAGTGAAATTTATTTGATAAAAAAGATGCAAGTCACAGAAATCAGAGAAAACCTCACCAAACATTTGCCAGCTACTTCAGTCAGAGAGAGATTTGCTTCTACAACAATGTGGTTGATTTTTCCAAGGCTATGGATATGACACAGGGTTGGTACCCAAAAACCCAAACCCAAAAACCCACCCAAAAACCCACCCAAAAACCAAAGACCAAAAACCCACCAAAAACCCAACTTTATGGGTTTTTGGTCTTAAATTTTTAATTTTTAATTTTTTTGTTCATAAATCAATTTCCATTAACACACAAGATTTGATGCTGATCAACTAACAACAAAAAATGAAGTTTAGTAAGTCATAAACAAGAATTTTATTTTACTTGGAGCAATAATATTCAAGCTTAATCATTTAAAACAAAATAATCTAAAAGTCATCAGCAATTGTGCATCTTGATCTTAAATGTCTGTAAATTCGTACAAGCATTTCAGCTTTTTCTCTTCCTAAACGGTTTCTAATTTTGCTCCAAATAATCCCAAAAGATGAGAAAAATCTTTCTATGGATCCAATACTAGCTGGACAAGTGTGCAACTGCCGTAAAAATTTTGCAAAATTTGCAGGCAATTTGGAAGACTTAGATTCTTTCATTTCTATAATTCTCCACCAATTTGTTGCTGATGTTGTGCTTTTAACACTATCGTTGAATAAATATGTTGGGAAACAATTAGCATCTTTTAGTTTAAACGCATAATAGCTTGGCATAAATTCAGGATAGACTTCATTCAACCATTCCTCAGCTTCTTCTTCTTGACTTCTATCCAATGTTCTTCCTAAGTAAATAAGTAAAGTTATAAGAGTAGTAAACTTAAATAAAAACTTTACATTTGTTTTTATTAAAAATTAATCAGATGCAATACTTTAAGTTTTTTACAATTGTTTAGTTACCTTCATATTTTGGATCTGCTAAATTGGCAAGAAAATGACAATTAATAATTGCCTTCTTGAACCTCTTTAAAATATCATCTTTGTACAAAGCCAATTTTTCATTATGTATGAGGCTTTGCCAAATCTCAACTGCTTCAGACAAAGTTGTATCATCTGCTTGCAACTACAGTAAACACAATAATTTTGCTAATAATTAGGTAAATAAAGTTAATGGTGACATTGTTCCTAATATAAGTGGTTTTAATATACTTAATATAATTAAATTTAATAATTTTAATTAATAACTAATTTTATTAACCTTATCTAATGCAACACCAACAATTTTCAGTTGTGCATATAAATTTATTGCTTCTCTTTGTATTGATAGATTGTCAATTAGGCTTCCTATTAAAGGATCAATGGATTCCATATGCTCACCTCTAATGTCAACGTACAGAGAATGATTAGATATGTATGTCTGTAAACAATCTAGTTGGGAGTTCCAGCGAGTATCATTAGGTAGCTGTGGCATCAGTCCACCTTTTTCCAATAACCAACCCTATAATAAATTTATTTAAGAAAATTTAACAAAGAAATATTAAAAAATAATTTTGTTAAAATAAAGCTAGGATCTCTTTTGCCATCATTATCATTAGGCTTATATCATTAACACAGCTGTGTTATTTCATAGTATTGTATTACAGAATATGATCAATAAGTAAAGAATTTAATACATACATGTGGTTGGTGATGATTACGAAAATATTTATGAATTGCTATAATATGCTTTACTATAGACTTTGGAGAGACATCCTTTTCAACCAAATTTAAAAAATGAGTAGAGCAACCAAATGTTATCAACTTAGGGGCTTCAGCCTGCAAAAGTTTTCTCATTTTAGACATTTTATTTTCGTTGTCAGTGCATACTGCAAATACCTAAATAAAAAATGAAACATATATGTGTATATATATGAAGGCCTCAACGGAAGAACGATCAGAGTCACACTTTTGATGTTTTGAGAAAATCAATTTTTAAGATTTAAAACACCATCATGTAGTTCAACGAATTAAAATCACCCCAAAAATCATTTTATTAAAATCGTTCTTCCGTTGAGGCCTTATATATATATATATATATATATATATATATATATATATATATATATATATATATATATATATATATATATATATATATATATATATATATATATATATATATATATATATATATATATATATATATATATATATATATATGTATTTATATGAGGCCTTATATATACATATATTTATAAGTATATATATATATATATATATATATATATATATATATATATATATATATATATATATATATATATATGTATATATATGAGGCCTTATATATATATATATATATATATATATATATATATATATATATATATATATATATATATATATATATATATATATATATATATATATATATATATATATATGTATATATATATATATATATGTATATGTATATAGTATATATATATATATATATATATTAAATAAAGCAGTTAAACATCTAACACTTACATCTTTATTGAACGTTTCTTTAGCAATTTTAATTGCATCCTTAGCAGCTTGAGCGCAATATTCTGCTGTTTTTGATTAGCTTCCAGTGTCAATTGCAGAAATGAGATAAGGTTTATTTTTACTATGGATTCTATGAGCAATTATAGGATCATTACTGAATGTACTCCAACCATCTTGAATTAGGGTAACAGCACTATCATCAGCAAGATCATTTTTCATTAAATTGATTACACCTTCATTTATCTTTACTAAGAGTTCTGAAGATATCTGTTTTCTATTTGGTGGCTCATATCCAGGTCTAAGTTTTTTAAGCAGCTTGGTAAATTCAAGATTTTCTACTACGTTGAATGTTATATTTGCTGATAAGAAAAATCTTGCAACTTGTAAATCCAGTTCATCCCTCTGATTACTTGTTGTTGTAGTAACAAATTTAGAAATAGATGTTTGCTGTTGCATCGTCATTGCAGTTGACTGAACAATTGACGAATAAAAAGAATCACTAATAAAGCTTAAACCATCTTGCTCATTATCATCAGACAGACTAGACTTATTTGATGCTGCAGATGTAGATGGCCTTGACTCTAAAACTGATATATCACTTAACACTTCAGCGGAATTATTATTGCTTCGTTTATTCTTTCTTCTGCATTTATCCAAATGGATCTTAACTCTTTCTATTTTTTTAATTATGCTCACTTTGCAATAATTACATATTACTCTATTTGGTTGATCACTTAATATGGTCACTTCATTCCACTCACTAGCCTTATTTCTTCCCCCTGAATGATACTTTGGCATGTTGAAGACGTATAATCTACTTATATTTTAAATTTAACTAAAAAGATAACTCTATTTAAAAATAGATTTATATTATAAAAAAATGCAATCTGATTATTAATAAAGCTTTTGTATAAGAAAATATACCTGTAAAAAATGAAAAATAGCTTTATTATATTATAAACTATAAATTAATCAAACTTTGATTACTAAAGATTTATACCAAACTTTAGCAAAAACCCATCAAAAACCCACCCAAAAACCCAGCTGGGTTGGGTTTTTGGTCAAAAACCCGGGTTTTTGCCAACCCTGATATGACATAACAATACATGTAACCAAATAACATAACATGTAACTGAAATAAATGAAAACTGCATATAGGCTGTTCATTGTCAATAGGTCATTAAAGATTTTAAATTAGTGTTACTCCTCATGAACCATCTAGGTGGTTTCACAAAATTTCCTTGTTTCCTTTGGAAATTTTGTATTACAAATAGTATTGGTCATATGGACCATCAAGATGGTTTTACAACATTTTCTTTTTTTTTTTTTTATTAAATTTCTATTTTCTTGTTGTTTTAATTTTTTTTTCCTATTGTAAATTTTAAAGATAAAAAAAGTTCATAAAATGTGTAAAAATAAAAAGTTCACCAAGCTCCTGAACAGGACCCCTCGAGAGAGCAGCTTTAAACAGTTTTGTTGTTTATGGATTCCTAGGTAATCATATGACTGAAAACTATATAGAGTTGGTTTCAAATAGGATGCAGAATGTCACTCAAAGTCCATATCCTCGTTGCTTATTAAGATATATTAGACTTGGCTAGCTACTTCCTGAAAGCGACTTGCAAATCTAGAAATTTATCTAGAAAATAGAAAAGTCTTTATCTATTCAATATGCAATTGTTGTTTCTTACCAGACGGAATGAAAAATATTTGAAATTTGTTGTCTCAATAAAAATGAGTTTTCTTTGTGGTCATAAAACATAAGCAATTGAAGTATAACACTTTTTTTTTCACTATCAGAATCAGTTAAAAGTATCAGAATCAGTTTGAAAGTATCAGAATCAGTATGAAAGTATCAGAATCAGTTTGAAAGTATCAGAATCAGTTTGAAAGTATCAGAATCAGTATGAAAGTATCAGAATCAGTTTGAAAGTATCAGAATCAGTTTGAAAGTATCAGAATCAGTATGAAAGTATCAGAATCAGTTTGAAAGTATCAGAATCAGTTTGAAAGTATCAGAATCAGTATGAAAGTATCAGAATCAGTTTGAAAGTATCAGAATCAGTATGAAAGTATCAGAATCAGTTTGAAAGTATCAGAATCAGTATGAAAGTATCAGAATCAGTTTGAAAGTATCAGAATCAGTATGAAAGTATCAGAATCAGTATGAAAGTATCAGAATCAGTTTGAAAGTATCAGAATCAGTTTGAATGTATCAGAATCAGTTTGAAAGTATCAGAATCAGTATGAAAGTATCAGAATCAGTATGAAAGTATTAGAATCAGTTTGGAAGTATCAGAATCAGTTTGAAAGTATCAGAATCAGTATGAAAGTATCAGAATCTGGATATTGTATCTACTGGGTAGATTTACTGGGTGGAAGTATCTGGAAAAGCTTTTGAGATTATCAAATCATTTCTTTCAAACTGCTTTATTAAAGCCGACACTCTTCTTCATTTCCAGAAACTTCTAGGGTACTCTATCCTTAGTCCTGTTTTATTTCTTATCTATGTTAATGATTTTGTTGACAACCTTACATCTAAAGTAGCCCTATTTGCTGATGACTCAACTTTATACTCCTGTCTTGAAAAATAGTCTTCTCTTTTCGATCGCTTAGAATAGGCAGCGAATTTTAAATCTCACTTCTGTAATAGATTAGGCTTTTTCTTTTTTTTTTTCTAGTCCTAAACTCAATAGTGGTTATAACTCACAACTTAATAGTGGTTGCTTGCAGCCTTGTTGAGTGGTTGCTTGCAGCCTTGTTGAGTGGTTGCTTGCAGCCTTGTTGAGTAAATCAGATTAAATAAATAAAAAATCAGTTTGGGTTTAACAGGAAATGAAATACTCACTTTTTTCAAAATAACTAGATTTAGTAACTTTTTCTTGCTAAAAGTTTCGCAACATTTTTTTTTCTTTTATAGTTTTTTGAATTCTACAATCATTATCTTCTCTAATTTTCTTAAATAATAACAAACAAAATGTTAAGTTCATACTCAGAGAGATTTTCAATTCCAGATCATTAACACAGTTTTAAATGCAGTTTCTAAGTTTATAAAATTGTTGCATTTAGATGAGCAGACTATTTTTTCTGATAATCTATTACTATCTATATGCAGGCTGTCAAGCAGCAACTTTCGAAAAAAATGACAAAAAATGACGGTATTTTGAGAATAAAAATGACAAAAAATGAAAAAAAATGACTGAATCCATTATAAAAATGAAAAGTTCAATAATTTTATTTTAAAAATAACAAACAAAATAACAAACAAAATCATCCGCCATCACTAATTTCTTTTAAAAATGAAAATCTCAACATCTTTTTGTTGTTTAACACGCAATAAAACGTTTTTCTAAAGTCTAAAATAATTAACATAAATAAATAAATTTTGCTAACTAATTATAACTGAACCAACAGTTCAAGCTCTATTATATTTACAAAAACTTTCTAACTTTTAACGACTACTTTAATTTTTTGCAACGCTTAATTATTCTATCCATTTCACTTTTGCGTTTTAAACCAATATTTTCTCTCAGCTTTTTCTGTTCATTTCTATGAGATGTAGCATTTTCAAGACTTCTTTTTGCGCTGTTTATCATTTCATGGGCAATTTTTATATCCATCATGTCTTCCTTAATAATGGCACTTTGCATAGATTTTGCTGCTTCATCGAGCATTCTCTGAGCAAGCTGAAACTCAAAATCTGCATTTTTCTCCTCATTCTTTAGACTTTTTTTCTGTTGATTTAAATTTTTATTTTGATTTTCAACTTTTTCAAGCATTTCTTTCTGTTCTTTTTCTTTATTCATTAGTTCTTTTTCTTTATTCATTGTTTTGGAACATATTCCAAAAAATATTTCTTGGTGTCTTCCCACCTTAATAGAACCTTTATAAGTGAAGAAGAAAGAGTAAGCCATCTAGTATTGATAAAACGAAGAAACAATGTTTCATCGTCAATAAAAATGCAATCTGATAATTTTTTAAAATCTTCTATTTTACAGGGTGCATTCTAAAACAGAAAAAAAAAATTATATAGAGACACTACACTTTATTAGCTAGTCGTATAACAGACTATTAGAATAAAAATAATAACAATGTAAGAAAAATAACTTCATAGGTAAAATAAAAAACTCTCTTTTAGTATTAACTGCAGTAAAATCCCGTTAAGTTAGACTCTCACAGGGAATAGATAAATAGTCCGACTTTTTGTATGTATAGAAAAGCTCAAGGGGAATTGAAAATCTGTCCTACTTAGTACAAATCCAACTTATCCAGGGTCCGAATTAATGGGATTCTACTGTACAAAATTACTCAAATTATTACCTTGAACCAGGTATGTAAATCAAATGCAAGCTGTTCAGTATCCTCCTGACAGCATTAATTGCTTTTCGAAAGTGCAAAGTGCAACTTACAAATGGTAACAAGCCATTAAAACCATTATTATGAAGATCAGCATTTAACAATCTCCAAATGGCTTTGTTAATATTAGGACCAACTGCTGAAATATTAAAAAGACGATCCCATGGTAAATAAAACTTTTCATTATGACGTAAATCTGCTAGCTTTGTTTTGACATCTTCTTCTGTTGCTCTGCCAAAGAACAGCGATGTAAAACATTTTGTAACAACTTGGTTTTCGTCTTTTGACCAAAAACGACATAAAAGATCCATTTGTTTTCTTTGTTGCGAAGTAGTTGTTTCATCAAACATTAAACTGAATGCACCTTGACTTAACGTGATACTATTACATAAACGCTTTTCCAACAATGGCCCAAGGCCATCTTGCAAAATATATGAAGCTTTTTTGCCGACTCATAGTAAAACCTTGACTTATTTTACTATCTGGAAACATTCTTTGGAACAATATTGGTGTGTTGTCACAATGTCTTAAGGCAAGATCATTCTCTGCCACTTTAAAAAGCCACATGGCTTCTGCAGCAGAAATTTTTTCATTTATAGAGAACTCTAATTGTATAACTTTTTCTCCCCCAATAGATTTTTTGCTAGAATCTACATATAAATGACGAGCAGTTTTTGAAAATCTTAAATAGACACTGACTTATGTTTAGGTTTTGAAGAATGCTGTTATAGTGCTTGGAAACCAACTGAACTGAATTTTAAATCACATTTGCATAGTTTACAGATAGCATATTCAGAGTTTCTTTTTTCAGCCCATAACTGGATTTTCACTAGGTTTTTGTCTAACTTTTCCAACCACACATCATTCCACTTAACCATTATACTATATAATCTATTGATAAATATACTAAAAACTAAATATAAAAATCACTAACTTTACTAATTCTATACTATAGAATGATTTATTTTTTTAAATAATAACACCAATTTAGCAATACAAATGGATAATTAAAATTAAAATGTTAATATAAAAGATTGCAACTGTTATTATAAAATTGTTTTGAAAATTAAATAAAAAACTAAGTAACATAATGTCTAAAACAACTTAAAAATATCAAAAATAGCAAGTCTAAGTATTTTTTTATAAAAAAAACTTCAAAGTGTAAAAAATTCAAGAAAAAAATGAAAAAATGACAAAAACTAACAAAAAAATGAAAAAAAAATAAAGAAAAAAAAAAGAACCCAAAAAAAATGAAAAAAATGAAAAAAATGACAACTTGACAACCTGTATATGTCAAAATAATTCAGTGTCTTAGGGTTATTGGAAACCAACTAAAATATTCTTAAATATAGTTTTTGGAGTTCTACATACCTTGTTTAGCATGCTCTTGCGGGGTTCCTACAGGGTCATTAGTAAAAAAACAAATGTTAAAATCAATAACATCTAAACAATAAATAATTTCAGCCATAACTAATTGCTCTCTAGTGCTTAATACTATGCTTAGACGATAGTATTAAGCACCAAAGAGCCATTAGTTTAATAATCTGAACTTGTCACAAATTTAGACTGTGATCTAGCTAGTTTTGTATTTTCTTCGTGTTTCTTTGACTTCAAATGAAGAATAAGGCTTGGTTACACCAGCTAAACAGTTTGTTGGTAGAACAAAATCTACAGAATCCATTTTTACTAGACTTACTTGAAGCTTTTATCCATCGATAGCTTTTTTCCAG